ACATCCTGCATATATGCATGAACTTTCAGAACTGTTGCCTGTAATCAATCAAAAAGTAGTAAATATTTCTTCTTACCAACTGGGCACCTACCATAAAACTGCCTCTACATCACTTTTTCCCACACATGTTATCTGTAACCAATGTAAATTCTTCCAAAACAACTTACATCTTTCTTCTTCAAAACATAATGTATAAAAGTGCTCGTCAACGCCATAATGGCAGACATGTGTATCTTTTCTATGTAGTTCTGTTGATGTGGTCTAGACTTCTGCCCCAGGATCTGGTCCTTTTCTGGCTAGCATATGGTTCAATAAACCCTTAAAGCTTTTGGCTGTGAAAGTTCTTTGGTTTGCTTGTTTGTTTAAACACAATCTTTTCCTTACCGTCCTGCACTATTAATGTTATTTATCAAGTCAGATCTAAAATCTATGTTTCTGTCTATTCACACTACTCAAAGCTGACTTACTTGACCCTGATAAATATCATTTATAGGAGTGCCTCCTACTGCAGTTATTAAAAACAAAACTATTCCCAAAACCCAAGAATATGGATACTTGGAACAAGGATTCTGAGATCTTTTAACCCTCTCGTTTTATAAATTCGTTACAGTTATGTTCAAAAACAAGATGTTAAACAATTGCTATGCATAGAAAGACCTTATAATGGAATATTTATATAGTGTAAGGCCTAACAGTTGAGTTTTCTTCTATTAAATGTATGACTCAAGCTTTGCTTGATGAGACATCCACTTCAAAGAAGATTATCTCCAATAAACACAATGCAGCCACAGTACTAGAAGAACCAGGGGCCTATCTCCACCAAGGCTCTTTTGCTTTAAAGATCTTGGTTTAATTTCAATAAATGAGCATTTGGGCCACTTGTTTTCTTTTCTTCCCATGCTTTAAATTCCTGCTCTTACGTTTTAGAGTGGGCCCATGAGTCCATGAAAGCTCGAGCCCCCACATTTGAAAGCAGAACCTTAGGCCAATGCATGTTCCCTCTCTGCCTCACTCCTCTTTCTCCCATCCCTCTCCCTCTCCCATCTTTCCATCCCAACAATGATGGTTATTGCTAAATGGCAATCATAATAAGAACCATGGGACCAGTCTAAGCACAACGTTAGTTACTGATAGGCTGAGACCAACATAAAAAGCAAATCATTAACAAGTTTTAAAACCGTATTAATAAAGATTGGTGTTTCACTAGAGACAAGGCTTTTCTTTATACATTTGTAAGACTGAAAAAGAATGAACCATATTAAGGGCCTGCACCAATTAAGCAATGCTATCTGGCAGAAGCACAATATAAATTAATTTCTTAATCTAAAAAAATGACATATTGCAAAAAAGTAAAAACATTAAATATTTTAATAATTAGGTATATAATGCACATTTTACTCATATGAAATTTCACTCATATGAAAAGTTAAAGGCTTGACTATAAATTTGACTAATGTGAAAATTTTTAAATTCTCTTCTCTCAGTGTCATTCTGAAATCTCTCTGTTACTATCAGCATCATGAAACACTTAGCATCTAGTTACCTTGAAATTAATTACAACCAACCCAAACCTGGGAGAAAACATAAAATTTCTGATATTCATACTCAGATGTTTTTCTTAAATAAAATGAAGCTTATCTCATATAATCTAGTCTTTTGCTTGGGTAATCTTGCTGGCATCCTTATTCTTATTATTATTATTTATTCTGATACTAGAGGCCTGGTGCACGAAATTCATGCACGGGTGGGGGAGGGGTGTCCTTCAGCCCGGCCTGCACCCTCTCGCAGTCTGGGACCCCTTGCTCCTTACCACCCACCTGCAGTGGAGGCGGGAGAGGCTCCTGATACTGCAGCTGTGCTCGCCAGCTGGGAGCCCAGCTTCTGGCTGAGCGGCACTGCCCCTGTGGGAGCGCACTGACCACCAGGGGGCAGCTCCTGCATTGAGCATCTGTCCCCTGGTGGTCAGTGCTGGTCATATCGATGGGTTGTTCTGCCTTTCAGTCGATTTGCATATTAGGGTTTTATTATATAGGATAACAAAGTGAAAGAGCTTTAGTAAGTAACACTGGAAAACTAGAGAAACTTTCATTAGAAATCATTTAAATACCAGAACTACAGTGGATATGATAATGTTCATAAGAACATGCAGTATAATCTTAGGAAGCATTTCTTTAAAAAAAAATCTAAAGGTAAGTTTACTTTTATAAAAGGCTTTCTCTGCACATCCCTAAACCAATGTGTATATCCCCACTTCCTTGGTGGGGGTATTTAAAAGACAATAAAAAAGAAAATAACATCTGAATATTTATTACATCAATATTTCAATTTTGGGGAACATGCTAAAGGCACAATGAAAAAATTAACACATCTTCATAAACTGGCCATATAACACCACCCCATGAAGAATGGCTCCCAGGTATAGAACTATGGGTATTTTCTGATGTCTACTCCATAATAAAATTGTTTAAATAAAATTGAAATATCAGAAGTTATAGTTGTGACAAAAATTTCACTTGACTTTATAGCAGAAGTCTTGGGTTGTAAGAAAGCACTCCTTCACAGCAAATTACAGTGCACTGGCAGCACATGTATAAATAACATAAAAAAAGTGACTGTTTCCCAAAGCAGGTAGCCATGGACATAAGGAATTATTTATATAAAGACTGTATAACTTACTATACCAGAATATTTACAGAATTACAGAATTCTAAAAAAATCTTTATCCTCATTTCTGAAGAATATTAACTTGAAGAAACATTTTGGCATTAACTAGTACAGTAATTACCTATTTCTTGTGCAGAAACAACTAAACAGCTACAGGTTCAATTTCTTTTCATGTATAGTCAAAATCAAAATTTAAAACACTACTAACCCTTAATGAATAATAATTCTCTTGAAAACTTAACATTTTACAATAAAGTAGTCATCAACTCTAAATACTTAAAAATGCTTATAAAGTATTTCTTCTCTACAACTAAAAATTGAAACATTAAAAACGTTTAAAAAAAATTAGTTAACATCCTTGTTTTTAAAAACAAACAAAATGGCCCTCTCTGGTTTGGCTCAGTGGATAGAGCACCGTCCTACAGACTGAAGCATCCTAGGTTCAATTCCAGTCAGAGGCACATGCCCAGGATTGCGGACTATATCCCCAGTAGGGGACATGCAGGAGGCAGCCGATCAATGATTCTCTCTCATTGATGCTTCCATCTCTCTCTCCCTCTCCCTCTCCCTCTCCCTTCCTCTCTAAAAATCAATAGAAAATAATAATAATAAAATAAATAAAAACAAACAAAATGTTTTAGACCTTTAAAATTCTACCTTTCAGAACTTAAGTTTTAATACAAAAATCTGAAATCAAGCACATCATCATACTTTTGACTTGAAAAGTAGGAAAATGGAGATCTTTAATTGCACTGTATTTACAGATCTTGAAGAGTCTTTACAAATTAAATAAAAACTATATTCAACTTTCATCAAAATATTTACTAGAAACCTTTTAAAATTTTAAATGATTTTTTTTATTTGGCAACCACTAAAATATTTTAAAGATCATGTAAAAAGAATTTCTCCTCTTTCCTTCCTTCTAACCAAAAGAATCTCAAACTTTACATGTGAAGAATTTTTTCTTACAGAATTTGCACTTTAAAACTAGCTCCAAAAAATAATCAGAAAAATAATTAAAAGTCTGTTTAAAAAAATAGCACATACCACTGAAACTAGAGTAAGAAATTATTTTCTTTTTAACCCAAATACTAAGTATTTTAAACTTTTTATAAATAACAATAAATACCGCCTCATATTATGTACGGTGTATAAAATGGAGTAGCACTAAAACAAATGATGACAATGAACAACCCATTATACTTCACTGAAAATAAGTATACTCTCATTTTTCTTAGAGGAATATTATGAATTTTCTACTAGCATTCTGGAATAAAATAACAAGCATACTTTTTTTTACCAATTTCCTCTCATTTCTCCTTTGAATATAAGACTTTCTAAATTTTCTAAGAAAAAATTTATTCTGAGACTACAAGAGATTTCTGAAATCCCTAAAATACAGTCTTAAAAAACATCCCTAACCCATACTATGAATCTTAATAGGTTAAATTTAATGCATGATGATAGGTTCCAAGGATTGAAGAATCATACTGACAGCCAATAGCTCAAGGGATGACAATAATCCTGCATTTGTAATCTCAAAATTTTAAAAGAAAACTATTTACCAGTCTTAGAAAAATTTAGAGATCTATTTAAAAAAAACAACATACTCATCACAAATAGATACAAGGGAAACAAATAAGAAAATAGATTGTGTTACAGCTTTGTAAACTTGTTCCATTTCAAAATGTATTCTTTATAGTTAGGGAAATCCCTATACAAATAAAACTAAACATTTGTTCCCTTTTCTTTGAAAAATATTTACAGTACATAAAATGATAAGCAAAAAGTGTACACCTGCTTTTATATTGCTGGCCAGTGATATAGATGAACAAAAACACAAAAGTGCTTACTCAATTATTTGAGCATCTAAATTTGTTTGTATAGTGAAGTTATTATAGATCAACTATGGAAAAATTAGAAAACACCATTAATGAACCAGCCCTTGTGTAAAAGATCACACAAGATGCCAAGGTATTATACATTCACTGTGGTAAAAAATGTACATATATATTCTGTGCTTCTTTAACATTGTAAAATTTATATTACAATTTTTTCATCTCTTAAAATTCTGAGTTAAAAAACGTCTATTTTTTTCTTTTGCCAAATAAAAGTGATGTTAATCAACTAAGTTCATGAAACTTTTTACAAAATTCTTTACTAAGAACTTTCATCAATTTCTTTTACTGGTGTTCCCATAAAGAAAAACTCACTATACTTTGAAAGTTTTGAGCAGATATTTCCACATCTTTGTGGCTAGCATCATGATATACATAACAATGACATATGTAGTAATAGTCCACAACAATGTGAAATACAAAACTTTGTTCTCTAACTTTATTTTGGTCTCAGAGTGAAGTTCATTTCGTTCATCCAGCTATGTTGTCCCTTATTTGATCAACTCGAAGAGCTAGGTTTCTGAAAGACGGACGTTGATTTACATTATTATTCCAGCATTCTGTCATGATCACATAGATCTGTAAAAGAGAAAATAAACCAGAATTACAATGAACACAAAGTGCTATTTTTTTAATTGGCAGAAGACATGAATTTAGAACTCCCACTTAATTCTTCCATATAGGTATCTGTGCCTAGATCCACAGTTATATGATTACTAGAGGCCTGGTGCGTGAAATTCGTGCACGATGTGGGGGTCCCCTCAGCCCAGCCTGCACCCTCTCCAATCTGGGACCCCTTGGGGGATGTCCGACTGCCGGTTTAGGCCTGATCCCTGGAATTGGGCCTAAACCGGCAGTCGGACATCCCTTTCACAATCCTGGACCACTGGCTCCTAATCGCTCACCTGCCTGGTAACCCCTAACTCCCGCCCCCCTGCCAGCCTGGTCACCCCCAACTGCCCTCTCCCTGCCAGCCTGGTTGCTCCTAACTGCCCCCCCACCGGCCTGGTCACCCCCAACTGCTCCCCTGCTGGCCTGATCACCCCTCATGGCTCCCCTGCCAGCCTGATTGCCCCACGCAGCCTGCTGTTCAGTCATTTGGTCGTGCCTCACTAAATCCCCTGCCGGCCTGGTTGTAGGCAGCCATCTTGTAAGAGTGTGAGGGTTAATTTGCATATTACCTCTTTATTATATAGGACTAGAGACCCGGTGCATGAATTCGTGCATAGGTGGGGTCCCTCTGGGTGGCCTGCAGGGGTTGGGCCAAAACCCGCAGTCCAACGCCACCTGCAGCTCTTACCTGTGGCTCGTGCTCATCCCGGCCCCACTGTGCCTGCCGCAGGCTCGCACCCAATCAGTCCCAATTGGGAGAGGCTCGTGCTGCCAAAGCAGCGCTTGCCAGCCATGAGCCCTGCGTCTGGTGCCCTCCTGAGGGGAGTGGCCTGTGGGATCAGGCTGAAACCAGCTCTCCGACATCCCCCATGGGGTCCCAGATTGCAAGAGGGCATAGGCCAGGCTGAGGGACCCCACCGGTGCACGATCAGGCTGGGGAGGGACCACAGGAGGGCTCCAGGGCATGTTTGGCCCATCTTGCTCAGTCCCAATCGGCCAGACCCCAGCAGCAAGCTAACCTACCAGTCAGAGCGTCTGCCCCTTGGTGGTCAGTGCATGTCATAGTGACTGGTCGACAACTGTCCACCCCCTGGTGGTCAATGCATGTCATAGCGAACAGTTGAGGAACCTTAGCATATCATTAGCATATTACTCTTTGATTGGTTGTTCAGTTGTTCTGCCGTTTGGTATATTTGCATATTACCCTTTTATTATATAGGATTATTATATAGGATGCTATTTATTTAAAAGCTCATCAATTAAATTTGATCAAGTGACCTGAAGTCCTTGTTCTAAAAGAGCAAGAAATTGTATGATTACTATGGATAAAAAAAATAAATGAATTTGTGACCTCATCTGGGCATCCATCTGGTCTTGGTAATCTTCCATTATTCTTCAAAAGTTCTATCAAATGAAACACAATCATCTGTCCTTGTTTGTCGTTGCCAATCATACGCATGAATTCCTGAAACATAAACCCACATTTCAGTGAGATTTTTTGGGTACATTTAATTTGAAGCAGAAATCTTTCTCAACTTCTTTCAATAAATGGGAACAATTCTGTATATGTAATGCTTTCTTATATGTTTGAAACATTTTAAAAACAGACTATTTTGTTTGGTTGGTGTGACTCAGTGGTTGAGCATCAACCCAGGAACCAAGAGGTTGCTGGTTCAATTCCTGGTCAGGGCACATGCCCAGGTTGCAGGTGTGGTTCCCAGAGGGGGCATGCAGGAGGCAACTGATTGATGATGTTCCTTTCCCATCAATGTTTCTACCTCTCTATCCCTCTCCCTTCCTCTCTCTCTAAAAAAAATCAATGAAAAATATTTTAAAAAGTCAAACTATTTTAAAACTTCCTTTTCAGGAATACTTCAGACAGGATTGTTATATGTGGAACCTCTATAATGCCATTTCTATAAATGTAATATACTCAACACAAATTCCCTGAGAAGGGCCCAAAACAAGTGAACTAAAACTATATTTACATTTTTTTGGTGGCTATTGTTTTAACATGTCACATTAAAGTACATGGAGAGAAAAATATGTTCAAGTGTTAAAAATTCATAAAAATCTGATTTGTAAGCTAGGAAAATATTTACAGCACATCCTTTATTGAAATATAGAGAGCTCTTATAAACCGGTAAGAAAAATTACTAAAATAAAAATGGGCAAAGCACATAAGGAGACAATGCACACACATATGTACACCAAATACCCAATAAGTATGTGTTCAGTCACACTAATAGGAGAAATGCAATTTCAAGTCAAATAGATGCAACTTCTCTCCTACCAATTTGGCAAAGCTGCATAAAAACACAATAGTGGATACTGTCAAATGATGACATGCACAGGCCCTGTGCACTGCTACTGAGAATGCAATCTGATACAGTTTTTCTGGAAAGCATTCTGAAAAACTCAAGAACCTTTAAAAGAGTTCATAACCTTTCATCTATTATTAAACTTTTATTCTAAGGTGACAACCACAGAGAAACAAATATTTATATATAAGGATGTTCACTATGTTCATTGAGGTGTTACATAAAAGACTAAAAATGGAAAATAACTGTTTAGAAATTACATCCTTATTATGAAATGCTATCCAAAAGTTAGAAGCCAGATTTTCAGTAAATAGTTACTAATAAAGGAAAATATCCATGCTCTAATACTTAATTAAAAAAACAAGACAGCAAGCTGTATAGTATAACCTTTATTTTATAAAAAAATTATTTTAATACAGTTTCACTTTTACATATAAAATTAAAAGAAGCCAGGAAGAAACATACCACAGTACTAAAATAGTTACCTCTGAGTAGTTGAATTGGAGAGGATTTTTTTCATACTTTTCAATATTAAAGAAAATTCTACAATGATCAGAAAAAAACTACCTTAAACGTTTAACTTTTGCAATAATTCCTAGAATGAATGAGTTATTGGATGTATTAAGAATAATATTAAGAGAATATAGTAAACTAGAGGCCCACTGCACGAAATTCGTGCACGGGAGGGGGGGGGTGTCCCTCAGCCCAGCCTGCACCCTCTCCAATCTGGGATGCCTTGTGGGATGTCCAACTACTGGCAGTCGGACATCACTCTTACAATCCGGGACTGCTGGCTCCTAACCACTTGCCTGCCTTCCTGCCTGATCGTCCCTAACCGCTTCTGCCTATCAGCCTGATCACCAACTAACTGCTCCCCTGCCGGCCTACTTGATGCCTAATTGCTCCCCTGCCGGCCTGATCGCCTCCAACTGCCCTCTTCTTCCAGCCCAATCACCCCCAACTGCCCTCCCCTGCTGGCCCGATCACCCCCAACTGCTCTCCCCTGCCAGTCTGATCACCCCCAACTGCCCTCCCCTGCTGTCCTGATCGCCCACAACTGCCCTCCCCTGCCGGCCATCTTGTGGCGACCCTCTTGTGACATCGTGCGATGCCCCCTAGGCTTATATTATATAGGATAGTACTCTACCCCTCTTCTTTTAAAAAATTCAAGTTAATTTAATCAAGAAGTTTAGGGTTATTTTGTTGGATGTTGTAATACAAATAAGCAAGAAGAGGCTAGATAAGCTTTAAGCTTACTATCATTGTTTGGCAAAGCTTTTCTCATGTTAAAAAAAAAAGTTGAAAGTAAATAAAAACATACTGACCGCTGGTGGACTTTTACTCTTCTCAATATAGGTGAAAAGTTCATATAGAACCACTCCAAAGCTCCACACATCTGAGGCCACGGAAAACTTGCTCTCTGTCAGTGATTCTGGAGCATACCTGTGAAATAGGAAAGCATTTAAAAGGCGGTTACTTGATGTGTCAACTCTTGTTTGTAGCTGCAAACCAATTGGATTAAAAAAAAAAAAAAAAAAAAAAAAAGCAAGATGTACAGGAAAGAGTTAACATAGCAGGCTTGAGGCTGTCATCCTAAAAAAAGGCCTGCTTGCAATGCTGACACTTGACTGGTACCAGGAACTTAGATTTCAGGAGTGTTTCCACAATTCCCTAAATGATAAGAGGGGCTCACTGTGCCTAAAATGTTTCTGCAAACTACATGGTTTGTGCTGAATGCCCACTTTCCCTCTAGGAGTCTGAAATTGTAGTACATACCAGGCAGAGGGTGCTTACGTGTCCAGTCCCAATACAAACCTTGGGCACTGTGTTGTCACAATTACTGCTGGGAAAAGGAAGTGTGTCCCACATGACTTTACTGAGAGAGGGCCTTGGAAGATTGTGCTTGGTTTCCTCCAGCTTTGCCCCAGACTCCTTTCCCCTTTGCTGATTTGCTTTGTGTCCTTTCCCTGTAAGGAATCATAGCTACGAATATGGCTGTATGCTGAGTGCTATGAATCCTCCTAGTGAATATCAAACCTGAGAGTGGTCTTAGGAACCTCCAAATACACAAAGATAACTCAAAACAACAAACAAACAAACAAACAAAAAAACATTTTTGTCTCTATAGGAAATACCAGGGTTAACTGCAAAGTACCATAGAGAGAAAACATTGCTTCTAAACTGGAGCAAGACTTGAAACTATTAACATATAAAAGAAAAAACCTGCTCATCCCAAGGAAGTGAATTTTGTAAAGGAGCACAGAAAATTAGAAAGTCCGGGAGAAATGGTGCGATTATCTACTCAAGTATCAACACTAACCAAGGGAGAATTTTGGCTAATGGACTGTGAATATCCTGGTTACATTGCTAAGTTTATCCTTATTATAGAGAGTGATGACAGAGATCTGTTTAAGATTGATGAGATTTAAACTATAAATTACAAAAATTTAATCTCTCCTTTAAAATATGCTCACTTCCATAAATCCTTCTCTGACTACTCAAGGTTTTTATGACCCAATGCTACTGAATTTCTACTGAAATACTTGTAGCCTATACCACACAATTAACCATGCAATGCTATATTAATTTTATATTGTTTTTAAAAACACTTAACATATTTATATTTTTAAATAAATGTTAGCTTTAGCCCACAAATGGAACATAACATCCCTGAAGACAGCACTACTCCCCCAACCATTGTAAACTATTCTCATCCTTCGGTTATCCTGAAAGCACTCCTGTAATCGCCTCCTCACTCCTCCCTCCCCCAATCTGCAAGGCTGTTTCTCTCTCCCATCACTACTGTAAGAATAAATACAAATCAAAAACATAATTCTCCTTGTTGAAAATGAGGAAAATGACTCTTCCCCCTCTTTCCTTAAAGCATTTATTTTAGAAAACTTACCATTGTAAATTCTTTATCTCTTTCAAATGTATGTAAGTATTTTTTAAAGCTTTTGCTCAAATGCCTCTTGACAGCTTTATGATATGTTTTTCTCAAGAACCTGGGAACCATCTCTTTGTAATATAATCATCAAGGAAGTCAGCACCCCTACTTCTCAGTTTCTGTGAGAGGGTAGGTACCTGACTCCTTCCAAGTTACAAAATTATCTCTTGTCATAAGTTATAGTTTATTTTTCCTTTGGTAAAGCCAATTAGCTAATACCTGGTGACTTCAATTACCCAGTGAATTTAGGATGAACCATATGTGACAAATGTGATGTCAAGTCCTCTCACTTGAGGACTAGTTACTGTTTATCATGAGAAAATGTATGTAATGGGTTGAATTTGCTTGGCCATAAGAAAGAATAAGATTTCTTTCTCTCTTTGCAATCTATAAGCAGATTACTTTTGATGCACAATACCTTCTGGATTAATGCTTACTCAGTAATAAAACTGTTTTCATTCTAGCTTCTCCCTGCTGTTAGCCTCACCTTAATGTACCCTCTAAGCGAGTTCTCCAACCATTAGGTCAAAGGCCCCTATACACTCTTAAAAATTACTGAAAAAAAGCTGAAATTACTATAAAAAGAATGCTTCTGTGAGAAGAGTAGCATTGTTTTACATTTTTAAAGTTTCTTTACTGTTTGGTTTAACAGAGAGTATAAGAGTATAACCTGTGGAAAATTCCACTATCTATTCATGAAAAAAGGAAAGTGAAAAAAGCACATGACATCTTAGTATTAAAATAACTTTTGATAACAGACTCCCTAAAGGGGGTACAAGGAGTCCCCATACTTTGAGAACTGATATACTGCACCAAAAGTAGAGGTGGAGGGGGAAAAAAGTAAATTCATATTCCTAAAATATGACTCTCACAATGTTATTCCCTGGATAAAGCCTCTAAATCTTTCACCTTTAGTACACCATGTTTACTAAATAAAGGCTGACCTCTTTAACATGTTGTACAGGGCTCAATATCATTCTAGCCCCAATTGCTCCCTGTTTGCTCTGCAATTATGTCATTCACTTACAAGCCCTCATCCTCTTGTTCTTACCCTCTTCTTATGGTAAATTTTAAAAAAAATTAAGTAATACTTTCTTTTCTTTCTATTAAAGTATAGTGACATATAATATTATATGAGTTTCAGGTGTACAACATAGTTATTCAACATTTACATAGCTTATGAGGTGATCATAGTGATAAATCTAGTAACCATCTGTCACCATACAAAGTTATTATGATACCACTGACTATCTTCCTTGTACTGTACATTATACCCCTGTGACTTATTTTATAACTGGAAGTTTGTACTGCTTATTCCCTTTCACCATTTTCATCCATCTCCCTAGGACCTCCAACACCTCTAGGGTACCATGCTAAGTGAAATAAGTCAGAGAGAAAAAGACAAATACCAAATGATTTCACTTGATATAATATGTGGAAACTAAAAACCCTTGACCTTGAGCAAGCTATTTACCCTGTCTACAATTCAGTTCCTTCATGCTTAAAATGAGATATTAATACATATTCTCCAAGGATTCTTATGAGGATTAAATGAGATAATCCATGACACGCATGTAAGCCCAATGCAAGTACATGAGAAATTTTTGCTACTATTATCCTATCTAATAAAAGAGAAACATGGTAATTAGCCATACCTCCGCTACCCTTCCCATTGGCTAATCAGGGCGATATGCAAATTAACTGCCAGCCAAGATGGCGGCCGGCAGCCAGGCAGCTTGAAGCGAACATGAGGCTTGCTTGCTTCAGTGACGGACGACTCCAACATTCCCCGCCTGCCGCTGCCGGCCTCTGAGCTTGCAGTTTGAAACATTGTTACAAATATAGAAGCTAAACAAAACCCCAGAAACTTCTTTCAGCCAGCCGGGATCACAGAGCTGGAGTTGAAACAGTGTTTCGATTATAGAACCCAAACAAACCAGATACCTGCTTTCAGCAGTGGAGGCCTAAGAGCTGGAGCCAAGCCTCAGAGCTAAAGCTGGCCCAAAATAAAAAAAAATAAAAAATAAAAAAAGGAGCGGTTGGGAGCTTCAGTCACCCACCAGCCTAAAAATAGCCCTCAGCCCCTCACCCAGACTGGCCAGGCACCCCAGTGGGGAACCTCACCCTGAAGGGGGTGTGACCAGCTGCAAACAGCCATCATTCCCTCATCCAGGCTGGCCAGGCGCCCCAGTGGGGACCCCCACCCTGATCCAGGACACCCTTCAGGGCAAACCAGCTGGCCCCCACCCGTGCACCAGGCCTCTATCCTATATAGTAAAAGGGTAATATGCCTCCCAGCACCGGGATCAGTGTGACATTGGGCAGCGCCCAAACCGCCTGATCGCCCTGCGGCTCTGTGTGTGACAGGGGGCGGGGCCACAATCTCCCTATCCACCCTGCTCTGTTTGTGACAGGGGAAGGCACCCCAACCCCCTGATCGACCCTGCTCTGTGCCTGATAGGGGGGAGCTCCCCAACCCCCCGATCGCCCTGCGGCTCTGTGTGTGACAGGGTGTGGCACCCCAACCCCCCACCACGGGCCCTGCTCTGTGTGTGATGGGGTAGAGCCATAACCTCCCCATCGGCCCTGCCCTGAGTGTGACAGTGGCAGCGCCCCAACCCCCTGATCGGCCCTGCTCTGTGGGTGATAGAGGGCGGCGCCCCAACCGCCCCCCACGGGCCCTGCTCTGTGTGTGATGGGGTAGAGCCATAACCTCCCCATCGGCCCTGCCCTGAGTGTGACAGGGTGAGGCGCCCCAACCCCCTGATCCGCCCTGCTCTGTGTGTGACAGGGGGAGGTGCCCCAACTCCCCTCTCGGCCCTACTCTGTGAGTGACAGGGGGAAGCTCCTCAACCCCCTGATCGGCCCTGCTCTGTGCGTGACAGGGTACGGAGACCCAACCCCCCTGATGGGCCCTGCTCTGTGAGTGACAGGGGCAGCGCCCCAACCCCCTGATCGGCCCTGCTCTGTGCGTGACAGGGTACGGAGACCCAACCCCCCTGATGGGCCCTGCTCTGTGAGTGACAGGGGGCAGCGCCCCAACCCCGATTGGCCCTGCTCTGTGCGTGACAGCGGGTGGCGCCACAACCTCCCCATCGACCCTGCCTTGAGTGTGACAGGGGGCGGTGCCCCAACCCCCCAATCGGCCCTACCCTGAGCGTGACTGAGGGTGGCATCGCAACCTCCCGATCCGCCCTCCTCTGTGCATGACAGGGGGCGGCACCCTAACTGCCCAATCAGCCCTGCTCTGAGCCCGACCAGGGGCTGCACCTAGGGATTGGGCCTGCCCTCTGCCACCCGGAGCAGGCCTAAGCCAGCAGGTCATTATCTCCTGAGGGGTCCCAGACTGCGAGAGGGCACAGGCCGGGCTGAGGGACCACCCCCCCCCCCGTGTGCACAAATTTTTGTGCACCGGGCTTCTAGTCCTATATAATAAAAGGCTAATATGCAAATTGTCCCCTTGACCTGGAGTTCAACCAGGGGGCAGGGCCGGCCCACCAAATGACCGAGACCCCTCCCCCTGGCCGGCCCCCCCAATCGCCCTCCTGACCCCGATCGGGGTGGGCCAGCCGGACCCCACCTGTGCACGAATTCATGCACCAGGCCTCTAGTAAATATATAAATAACAAACTATTAATAATAGTAAAAATAAAGTTTTAAGTTTATGCTCTAAAATTTCATTTTATTATACTAAAATATACTCACCAGAATATAGGGCTTTCACCAGGTTCTTTCACTTTGTAGTATTCTTTGTCTTGTGGCAAGACTTTGGTTAACCCAAAATCTCCAATTTTAACTCTGTTTTCATTCTCTACCAATATATTCCTTGTTGCCAGATCCCTGTGGATATACCTTTTCGTACCAAGATATTCCATACCCTATGGATAAAAATAACATTTTTTCTTTCAGCCAGTTTTGTAAACATAATCAATTTCAATGGTCTTGCCTATTTATAGTCCCTTAATTATCTAAGATAAACTAGAGAATTTCTTAACAATTACCTCAACATGTTCACTTCATCTACAACTAATAGTCAGAATATTAGGTACCTTGCATATCTGAGATGTATATTGCAGAAGTTTCTTATGATCTATTCGTTCTTTATGCTTTTGGAGATAGTCCCGTAAACTTCCATATGGTAAATATTCCATAATTAATCTTAGATTACGCCGGCCTTTTAAAACACAAATGGGAACATAATGTTATGCTTTGCCATATTTTACTGATGAAATATTAAAAAACAACCATACATAAATGACTTAAAGATATATAAAATCTGAGTCTAAGATGACAGAATTTATTTGTAAATTAAAGGTGAAACAGTAAAGAACACAGGCTTTTTGAATCAAAAAGTTTTAAAAAGCTTTAAAGTAGTTGTTTTAGTCTTCTGTAACGCAAATCAAAATAAGCTGAGAAAACTTCCTTCTCCTCATTTTGTACTGAACAAAAAGCATCAAATTTAAATATTATACTTTTAAAGAAAATATGAGCAAAGACAATTTCTTTCTTTGAAAATGATATTTGCTTAATAAGCATAAGCAAGGGTGATAACAAACATTTTCAGTGAAGAGAATGATTAACCAACTAGTTAGAGATTTCCTGTAGTTACAATACACCATCACCAAGCAGTCTTCCGTCTTCTCTCCCTGGGCACTGTTATAAGTCCACATCTTGACACAGTATGTTTCTATTACGCAGGATGCCAACAACATAGCTTGAGTTCAAAATAGGTTTCAATGGCAACATACCAGCACTGTAGCACACTCCCTTGTACTTTACAATGTTGTCATGCTGCAGGGATTTAAGGATTTCAATTTCCCTTTCAAAGTCTCTGAGGTGCTCTTCAGTACTGTGCTGGAGCTTTTTCACAGCCACCACCTCCCCAGTGTTGTCTTGTAGAGGGTCATACCGGCACATCTCAACACTCCCAAAGTTACCCTGAACAATACAACACATCAGGACAGAAATCTCAAATTTTCCACACAAACACTAACAAATTCTAATTACATTAGCAATTCCAACAGTCAGAATTAACACACATCCCTAAGCTTAGATTAGGTAACTTTCAAGACAAAAAAGAAAATAGTAATTCCACAGGTAGGTAGTAAACACATACATTTAATTTATTCAAAAAGAATTAAAAGATGAAATATAAACAACTTCCAAAAAGCTTTTAGACACAAATCATGAACATTAATTATGAAGACAAACCAAGGGACATGCTATCTGTCACTACCTTCCAGGAAGAACTTCACTTTTTCACAATACACCCTTTGGTATCACTGTCAGAGAGCTGGATGGAGTAAGGGTCTATTATGGACTGAATGTGTATGTCTCCCCAAAATTCATATGATAAAGCCCTAACCCCCCGATGCGTGTATTTGGAGACTGGACTTGTGAAGAGACGATAAAGGATAAATGGGGTCATAAGGGTGAGGCCTTAATCTGATAGAACTGGTGCCTTTAAAAGAAGAAGAAGAGCCCTGACCGGTGTGGCTCAATGCTTAGAGTGCCAGCCGAGCACCAAAGGGTAGAGGTTCAATTCCTGGTCAATGCCACGTACCTGGGTTGCAGGTCTGATCCCCAGTCCCAATCGGAGCATGTACGGGAGGCAACCAGTTGATGTATCTCTCACATAGATAGTTCTCTCTCTTTCTCCTCCTCCCTCAGTCCCTTTCACTCTCTCTAAAAATCAATGGAAAAAATCTCAGGTGAGGATTAACATAAAAAAAGAAGAAGAGGAAGAGACACTAAAGCTCTCTGTCAATAAGGTGGCCAAATGAGGACCACTAAGAGAGCCCTCACCAGTAACCAAACCCTTTCAGAACCTTGATTTCAGACTTTCCAGCCTCTGGAACTATCAGAAGTAAATATCTGATGGTAAAGCCACTAAGTCTATGGTATTTTATTATGTCATCCTGATAAGATTAGTACACAATCTGTATTATTTGCTCAAGAAAGTAAATTTTTAGCCTAAGGGGATGTTCCCACTTTTTTGTTTTTAAGGTGAGTCATTAAAGAAACCTCTTCTCTTTTTTTTTCTTTCCTCTTCTCTTTTTATTAAGATTTATTATCTATACAGAGTTGATATATAATATTTACAATTAAGCTTTGGGTATTAATCAAAGTAATATATTTTGGATATTATTGCATTCTTAAAGAACAGAACAACATAGTGTTAAGCTAAAGTTTCTAAGAGACTATATTTTCAGCTATATTTTTGAAGTCAATTTTTAAAAAAACTTAGACCACATATAAGCTCAAAGTTAAATCTCTAATTACACAGGCCAGACAGCAGTGATGAGATGTCACTACTGAGATTAGGTTATAAAAAGACCATGGTTTCCACATTGGGTGTTTGCCCTCAGCTGCCATGTTGTAAGAATCCTATGGAGAGAGAGGCCTGTGTAAGTGAACAGGGTCCAGTCAACATCTTCTAGACTCTGAACAATCAGATTATTTCTTCCTCGGATGATTAAAAAAGGAAGTGAGTAGAAAGGCTTAATTTAGCCCTGGCTGGTGTGGCTCAGTTGATTGAAGAGTCCTGTACATCAAAAGGTCACAGGTCCAATTCCCAGTCTGGACACGTACCTACGTGGCACATTCATTGTTGTGGGGCATATGAGAGGCAACCGATGGATGTTTGTCTCTCACATCAATATTTCTCTCTCTCTCTCTCTCTCTCTCTCTCTTCCCTTCTCTAAAAATCAATAAACACATCCTCAGTTGAAGATTTAAAAGAAGAAGAAGAAGAAGGGCTTAATTGTCCCTTTCTCTATTTCATAAATAAAGTACTCTCTACCAAGAAACAGTCCCATGGTCAAATCAGTTGGGGAAATGTTATCTAATTTTTGAATATGTTCAATGCATATTACATGTTAAAGATTCTGAAAAGTTCTTCTTAAAGATAACTGTTTAACACAGCACTTCTCCAACATCTGACAACTAAACTTTTTCTACAAATACTCCTTAAAGTTTTACGAAATGTGAACTTTAGAGAATCTTTAAAGCCTTTTTTTCCTAAATAAAATGTTCTATGGCTATAATTTAACTACTTAAAAAACTTCTTTCATCTTACCTTGCCAAGTTGCTGCAGAAATTTCAAGTGTCTCTCTTCAAACTGAGTAGGGTCTCGGTCTTCAAAAGCTCCAGAAAACCCTAGGGCACCTATCCTCATATTTGGTAACATGTCATTCTCTGTTAACAATTCATAATCTGCAGAAATAAAGGATAATACACCATAATCTGGCAAATAAATTCTCTGGGTTAATATGTATTCAAGCTGACCAAAATATTTAGAAATACTAAACACAGGATAATGTTAATAGTTTAGATTATATTAATGGAGCCTTTACTTATTACCCACAATCTGACAGGCTTTCAAGAAAGATTTTTACAAAGAATAAATAATTACTTTATAAAATTGGCAGTTTTTATATTTATAAAGAATATATTCTGATTTCTTTGTGAAATTAGTAATACTGGAAAACGAAATACCTGTAGGTCAGACACATGCATATTTAGCTACATACTTTAAAGGAGTGGACAAAAACAAATCTACTTCATGTTTGAAAATGAATTATAAAATGTATTAAAACTAGTTTTTAAAAAACAAATAATTGTTTTTTAAAAACTCAAGTAAGATAAACTTTTATAATATACTAGTCATCAAGTAGCAGACTAAAGTTGGGTAAATGAAGGAGAAAAAGCCTTTTTTTAAATGTAAATATTGCTCAATCAAGGAGCCTAGAATATGTATAAAGTAGAAAAGTCATATGCCCATATGAGATTCTAAAAGACATCAAAGAACTTATTGAGAGGATTACAAAATTAGTAAAGATTTGTTAAATACAAAAAACACACAAAAAATCAGAAAGATAGCTGGGGAATCAATAATACATACCTGGAGTAAACAAACTATTAAGATCTCGTATGATGGCTCTGAAAGAAGGTCTAAAATCTGGTTCATAATCCATACAATTATTAATAAGATTTGCTAATTCTGTCCACTTTGGTGCAGGAAGCTGGTGTCTATCTTCATAAAACTGTAGCTTCTATAATTAAAGAACCACACATTGAGAATTGTGTAATGCCTTATCAATCCCTTCTTTTTAAAACCCCTTCTTTTTATATTAAAAAATATAAAATCATGTGAAAGAATCATCAATATTCACAAAATTAATCCAACCCCACAGACTACAACTCACTCTTTGAGAATCCAAAGCACTCAGAGGCTTGTCTCCTCCACTGCAGATTTCCCACAAAGTGGTACCAAAACTCCATTTGTCTGTTGCCAAGTTTAAGTTTTTAGGATTTTCAATACATTCAGGTGGTACCCATGGTATTCTCTCCTGAAGAACTTTTAAGTGATAGGAACATAGTATGGTTAAATAGTTCTCACAAGTAAGTAATTCTTTTATATGCTAATCATTTTCAAGCTGATTTGAATAATCATTTAATTCAAGATCTCATTTTTAACAATGACAACACTGAGATCCATAAAGACTGAATAATTTGCCCAAAATCACACAATTTTTTTATTAGCACTAAGAGAATTAGAACTCTGTACAATAACTCCTGGATCAACTAAACTTTTTTCCATTAAGTCACCAATTTTAAGCCCACGTGCCGCAAGAATTTTTAAAACCTGCAATACCTGACTGCTTAGTCAGGGGCAATGACCTCTTCTCCTTAAACTGTCAAATAAAAAAATTACAACAGCCAACACAACAACAGATATCCAGTGTGAATGCACCAAAATGCACTTCCATACGTAATTAAAAATTAAAACTGTTTTTTTAATTATGTATAAAATTGTAAAGAAAACAAAAATTATTTGACGAGGGTATGAGAAGTACACATCTAAAGCACATCCCAGTATTTAGAGAAATGCAGTAGAGGACAAAGGAAGGACACATTAATTAATACCAAAGAGACAGAGGGTAAAACTGGCTAAGTCCTCCAAAAAATGTCAATTTAGATACATTGCACAACAGGGGTCCTCAAACTTTTTAAACAGGGGGCCAGTTCACTGTCCCTCAGACCGTTGGAGGGCCGGACTATAGTTAAAAAAAAAACTATGAACAAATTCCTATGCACACTGCACATATCTTATTTTGAAGTAAAAAAACAAAACAGGAACAAATACAATATTTGTATTTGCATGTGGCCCGCGGGCCATAGTTTGAGGACCCTTGTTGCATAACATCAAAATAAACTCCAGTTCAAAGAGCAGAACATGTAAACAAAAAACATAAAATATTTAGAAAAAACATTTAGGTAAATATTTGATCTGTGGATTGGAAAGAATTTTCAAAGTATAAAAGCAATGAAAGAAATCATAAAAAATTATCAATAAATTTTCATATTTAAACAATCTTAAGGTTAAAAAAATTAAAAGGTAAATCAGGATGTAAAGAATTCAACCAAAATTAGAAAGGTTAACCAAATTGTTTCATGAAGAATACACACTGATCAAAAACAGTTCACTAAGACCCGCAGAGAAAAATGAACAAAAGATGTGAAGAAACAGTGCAGTAAAAAACAAATACATGCCCGCTGGTGTGGCTCAGTGGTTGAGCACTGACCTATGAACCAAGAGGTCATGGTTTGATTCCCAGTCAGGGCACATGCCTGGGTTGCAGGCTTGATCCCCACTGTGGGGTGTGCAGGAGGCAGCCGATCAATGGTTCTCTCTCATCATTGATGTTTCTCTCCCTCTGCCTCCCTTCTGAAATCAATAAAAATATATTTTAAAAATTAAAATAAATAAAATAGAAATATACAATTTATGAAAAATTGTTTAGTGTCATGAATAATCATAGAACAACAAAGCAAAACAATGAGGTATGATTTTAATATATTAAATTAAGAGTTCTCTAATGCTTGAAAGCCCTCTAGGTTACTGAGTACCACTTTTTCAGAGCGTTCCCTGATGGCTTGTATCGAGAGCCTAAAAAATGTTCCCATCCCTTGATCCAGTAATTGCACCGTAGTGATCTACTCTAAGGAAATATTCAGAAATATAGTTAAGATTTTCACATATTATCATAGTCTCTAAATAAATATAAAAATAAAGAATGAATAAAATCTGACCTTTCATACATAATTAGGGATAGCCAATTTGGCCCAGTGGATAGAGCACTGGCCCAGGGACTGAAGGGTTACAGGTTCGATTCCAGTCAAGGGTACATACTTTGGTTGCAGGCTCAATCCCTGGCCCAGTTGGGGCACATTCGGGAGGCAACCAATCAATGAGTCTCTCTCACATTAATATTTATTCTCTGTTTATCCCCCTCCCTTCCACTCTCTAAAAGTTAATAGAAAAATATCCTTGGGTGAGGATTAACAACAAAATTATCTTTATTTGATGTATCATTCACAAATACGTTCTTCCATATAATGAACTCCCTTTTCATTTTGTTGATGGTTTCTTTTGCTGTGCAAAAACTTTTTATTTTGATGGAGTCCCATTTGTTTATTTTCTCTTTTGTTTCCCTTGCCCTAGGACAGTGATAGCGAACCTTTTGAGCTCGGCGTGTCAGCATTTTGAAAAACCCTAACTAAACTCTGGTGCCGTGTCACATATAGAAATTTTTTGATACTTGCAACCATAGTAAAACAAAGAATTATATTTTTGATATTTATTTTATATATTTAAATGCCATTTAACAAAGAAAAATCAACCAAAAAAATGAGTTCACGTGTCACCTCTGACACGCGTGTCATAGGTTCGCCATCACTGCCCTAGGAGATGTATCGGCAAACATATTGCTAGGAGAGATATTTGAAATTTTGCTGCCTATGGTTCTTCTAGGATTTTTATGGTCTCATAACTTACATTTAAGTCTTTTATCCATTTTGAGTTTGTTCTTTTTTAAAATATATTTTTATTGATTTCAGAGAGGAAGGGAGAGGGAGAGGGAATAGAAACATCAATGATGAGAGAGAATCATTGATCAGCTGCCTCCTGCATGCCCCCTACTGGGGATCAAGCCCACAGCCCAGGCATGTGCCCTTGACAGGAACTGAACCTGAGACCCTTTAGTCCACAGGCCAATGCTCTATCCACTGAGCAAAACCAGCTAGGGCTTGAGTTTATTCTTGTGTATGGTGTAAGCTGCTGTAGTTTCATTTTTTTTGCATGTACCTGTCCAATTTTCCCAATACCATTTATTGAAGAGAGTGTCTTGACTCCATTGTATGCTCTTACTTCCTTTGTCAAATATTTAGAATAATGACAGGTTGATTTATGGGGGTCTCTGTTGTATTCTATTGATCTATAGGCATGTTCTTGTGCCAGTACCAGGCTGTTTTGATTACAGTGGCTTTGTAGTATAACTTGATTGCCGGGAGCCGGTCCATGCTTGCTGTTTCCAGGGACCTGGCATATATGGCATACTGTTCTTAATATGTTTGCTCACCTTCTTGGCACTATGTGTTTTAACCAAGGTCTCTGAGAAAGGTTGTTTCCCCAGGTAGGGATTTTCCCCTGAAGTTAGGGAGGGAATAAAACCTCTTAACTAAGTGCCAGGTGGGTAATTAATCACTTTAACTATGAACAATCATGCTTAAGCTACATAATCTTTACTCCCTGGAATGGAGATAAGAAACGCCCTAACCTTTGGAATAGAGATTGATAGGATTGGAATCAACTGGTATAATTACAGATATTAGAAGACAGAATTTAGAAGACAGAACCTACACAGAACCTAGAGACAGAAGAACTTCGCTGGAGAGAACATGGCAAAAGATCCTGGACAGAAACTGGCAACAGAACCTAGAGACAGAACCTAGCGAGAGAACCTGGCAAAAGATCCTGGACTGAACCTGACTATAGAACATGGCAAGAGAACCTGACTAGAACCTGGTGACTGAACCTGGCTGGAGAACCTGGACAGAACCTGGCTGGAGATCCTAACCAGAACTTCGCTGGAGATCCAGACCAGAACTTGGCTGGAGATCCTGGCTAGAGATCCTGGCTAGGCTGCTGATCAACTGAACACAGTCTCCGTGTCCTTCCTTCTTCGCCAACTCCGTCTACGCCTTTGGGAACCCCTGGACCTGCTGGGGTTGGACCCCGGCACTTGATATCTGGTATTGTGATCCCTCCAACTTTGTTCTTTCTGAAGATGGCTGTGGTATTCAAGGTCTTTTTGGCTCCACATAAATTTTGGAGTACTTGTTTTACATCTGTGAAATATGCTATTGGTATTTATTTTAAAAGAGATTGCATTGAATCTATAAATTGCTTTGGGTAGTATGGACATTTTATACCTAGAGAGTATTAAGCTAAGGAAAATAAGTCAGTCAGAGAAAGACAAGTATCACATAATCTCACTCATATGTGGAATCTAAAAAACAAAATAAACTGATGAACAAAATAGATCCAGAGGTATAGAAGTATAGAAAAGACTGTCAAATCACAAAGGGAAGGCAGGGGTGGGGTTGGATGAGGGCTAGAAGGGGTCAGTGGGGGGAAAAGGGGAACATCTGTAATATTTTCAACAATAAAGAATTTTTAAAAACATTATCTTATCGTCCTGTGGACCCTGAGAAAGATGCCTACTAAGAAGGGCTCCTGGGGAGCATGAGTGTGAAGAGCAGGGGCGGGGGGGGGGGGGGGGGGAGAGGTTGGGGGTTAATGGGGGGGATGAGGACACATTTGTAATACCTTAACTAATAATAAAAAAAAAAAAAGAAGAAGGGCTCCTGGTAGCTAACTGGGCTCAAATTAAAAAAAACAAAAACATAAAACCTCTAGGGCCTAGCAGCCATTTCTGTACAAGGGCCTCTCATGCAAACTGTACTTTAGGAAGAAGTCTACACTATACTACTGACCTCTGCACTGAACTGCCTGCTGCATTGTTTCTGCCATTTGAGTTAGTCCTTATAAAGGAGTTCCTGAAATCGTATTTCAACCAACAAGACTAAAGTTTTCCCCATCCAACTGGAGCTGTGCAGCTGCAACCAATAGAGGGCTCTATTCTGACCAATAAGGACAGTACTTTTTGGACCAATCAAACTGAGGATTTGGAGTCTTCATTTGCATCAGGACAGACCAATCAAGGACCAGGGTCTGGAACTTCTGTCTATATAAGCCAGCTCCCCTCTAGCTCTAGAAGGCACTTTCTATTTCCTCCAAATACTGAGAACTGCATTTCCCTGACTTCTCAGCAGAGAACACAGAGCAGACCAGTGGAGGCCAGAGCAGATCTGCACAGAACAGAGCAGACCAAAGCACAGCACAGCAGACTAGCACAGTGCAAAGCAGACTGGCACAAAGCAGAGCAGACCATCAAGGAGGAGCAGAGCAGAGCTGCCTAGCCAGAGGGGGGGCTGGCCCCAGAGTTGCCTCATAGTCTTGCTATATTCACAGCAGTGCTATATCACAATTAGCTGTTTTGCACTGATAAAATTTCCTTTTTCACCATACCCCAAATGGGGATTCCTGCTGGCATTGAATTAGCACTAATCCCTAGTAGCATGCTTATAAGGACAAATGGACAAAGACTAGGATGTAACTATAACTTAATTTAGATTGCTAAAAATGTTAGATAAATTTTATATTAATCAAGAACATGCCAATAAAATGGTTTAAGAAAAATTAACGTGTTTATGCAACCCTCCAAGTAAAGCTTAATAAAATTAAATATGATCCCTAGAGAACTTACTGTCCTTTGGCAAAACTGTAACACTAATGCCAGGATCACTAAGTTTGATGAAAGGAGGATTTCCTGTCTTCCTGTCTTCTTCTCTGATAAGTAGAATGTTTTTGGCACATACATTCCCATGAATAAGGTTTTTTTCTTCCTATTCAAGTAAAATATAAATACATTCAAATATCAATCCACAAATATATGAACATTTAATATGTCTTAAGCCCCAAATGGATTTAAAAAAGAAAAAGACTATTAATTAGTAAACATTAATTTGGAGGTATGCTTTGAGATAATAAAAGGAAATTTTATGGCAACACTGTGCTTCCTGTTTAACATTTTAAATGACACAATAATCTATGCCCAGAATAAAACAAATACATTAAAACTACCCAATGCCACTTCACTTTTAAAGTTGAGATTTTAAGTAGTACCTATTTTTAGGTAGTAGCTGAGAGAAATACTATTTATTTCCAGCAACAGAATATAGGTGTGCTCTGAGGGGTCTGATCCCTGGTTGGCCCTCTGGTATTCTGCTTCTCCAGAAACATTGCTTTCTTATTAGACATAATTTCTAATTGCCCACAAACACTACAACAAGGTATATTCTGAGTTTTCTGCTATCCATAGTTAGCACATTTCTGCATAATTTTTTGTTAAATTCTTTAAACACAAGTGACATAAACCTTAGATTGTTTGTCATCAGTTCTAAGAGATTGGTGAAATGACAAAACTATATTAAAAGTGACTTTATATAAATAAATATATGCCTACAATAATACCTTTCATAAAACAAACAGATTTTAAATAACTTAGCATCCATTCACAGACTTATTTCTTGTTCCCAGGTCAAGATCCTTTCTACATTGCTTCACTAAATAAAATACCTGATGAAGAATATACTGCCCTGGTTGGGTGGCTCAGTGGTTGGAGCATTGTCCCATACACCAAAAGGTTGCAGGTTCGAGACTCAGTCGGGCATGTATGGGAGTCAGCCAATCAATGTTTTCTCTTACATCGATGTTTTTCTCTCTTTCTCTCTTTCTCTCTAATACCAATAAAATATATCCTTGGGTGATGTTTTTTTTATAGAATTTACTAATTACTTACTAGAAAATGCATGGCCCATGCCAACTGTTTAGCCACTTCAAGTTTCCATAATATATTTATAGAATTTTTATTCTTTTTCAAATATGTATCTAGTGATCCAAATTTCACAAACTCCTGAACCAGAATATCTGCATTAAAATATAATAATGATAAGGCTCAAGTACACATACAATACAAAATATATATAACTTGAAACTTGTATAAATATATTATAGGTACCTGTGGGTATTATAGGAAAAGAGATTAAACTACATACAATTCACTAATTTAAAAAGCTAAACAGCTGCATACCATTCAGAAGGGGGGGTTAGTTTATTCACAACAGCAAGAGGTAGGAATCTAAATTTTATATACATAATATGCATTATACATAGTAATAAATAAATAATACATAGTAAAATATATGTACACAATACATGCAATATTATATATGTACATAAATATTTTATAATAATACACATTTTACACACCCCTACACATATAAAATATTACTTCAGCATACCTCTATGTGTCATCACTGAATTATGGCTGCTTTTTTAAAACAAATAAAAATGTCTCACATTATTAATTTTTCTTCCATGAAACTATTTAGACATTCAAAACTTCCTGAATTCTTCTTCCACACACAAAAAATAATAACAATGTCTATTCTATTGGAGATATGAAGGATAATTTGAGTTTGAACTGCATCCATTCCTTTAATTTATGCTGTAAAAAATTGTTTTGCATTGCTTTATCTTTAAAACTATTTTTTAAAAATACTATTAAGATATATATTTTCCAGAGAAGCAAGTATTTGCTTTTAAAAAAAAATGCTGACTGCCATTATGAAACAGTAAAAATTCCCTGTTAATACTAACTTATTTCCTGAAAGCCAAGACTGTTTCTACATAAATGCATGTTATTTAATAATTAACTGGGTTTAGGGTTTATTTACATTCTTCTAGTAATCATTTGTAATAGAGTAACCTTAAGTTCTTGATTTCAAATTTGAATTTATTGATATTTTGTTTTTTATCAAGCATAGTGTTGTCTTCAAAATTAAATAATGGAAAATTAAGCTACAAAATAAAAACCACAAAAACTCAAGTAAAAATTTTTAACATGGCATAATGATACATATTTTTAAAGAAATTCTCACAGACTTCACATTGTTATCCATGTTAGTTCATGGCCTAGTAAGTTATTAAGTGGCTAAACTTCATACATGCCTATATTTCATATATTTGCTGTAAAATGCATACTGTAGATCTAATCTCAAATTGTGATACTGCTTGATTTAATATTAAAATGACTTAGTTTTCATTTGGAATGTAATAATTGTTATTGACAAAAGTTGCCTTTGGACCTCGCTGAGTAACAGAAACAAATTAAAGTTTTGCTGCCCATAGTTAATTTGGAGAACAATCCACATACCAATAATTAAAAATTGAGCAATGTTACCCCAATAAATTTAATTTTAGAAAAATGCCTGCAGGAAAATTTGTTAGGGGAAATATCCAGAAAAAGACTTAGTAGCTGCAATGTTGCAATGAACGAGAGATTAATAAAATCTTTTTTATGTGGCATGTAAGACTTACTATTTTTCATAGATACCACAGATTATCATATGTCCCCTTATTTTATGTTATACAAGAAAAAAATACCCATTAAGCTGAAAATGCCATCAATTATATCACAGCTTCTCAATTTCAGATTTTTTTAAAATATATTTTTTAATTGATTTTTTACAGAGAGGAGGGGAGAGGGATAGAGAGTTAGAAACAACAATGAGAGAGAAACATCGATCAGCTGCCTCCCGCACACCCCCTACTAGGGATGTGCCCACAACCAAGGTACATGTCCTTGACGGGAATCGAACCTGGGACTTTTCAGTCCGCAGGCCAACGCTCTATCCACTGAGCCAAACCAGTTAGGGCCAGATTTTTTTTTTTTAATGAGAAGAGTACATCACAGAAACAATGAACTAAATACAAAGGCAAGTGCAAGAATTGGAATTATATGCTCTAAGTATATCCTCCCCAGGTGAAAAATTATGAGAAACATCAATAAATAAAAAGGATAAATACAGAACCACTCTAGTTGGTGTTAAGTGGGTAGAACTCTCCACTACTGCACTTAGATTTATAGTCATTTTATTAACTCCTCTGAAATACCTGAGGAACTTACAGAAAACATATTTGAAAGCTATTGCCTTTGAAAAGATTATCAATATTCAAATATATGAAGCAATGTTATATGAGTACGGATGCATATCTAATCCGCATTACTAATTGAAAATAGGAATTACATACAAAGTTTCTGAATGTAAACCTTGTAAGTTTTTATGAACAGTCTAAATTTAGACATAGAATATATCTGATATCAACATCTAATCATCTCAGTCAGTTTCATTCAAAATCAGTCTAGACCTGGCCAGTGTGGCTCAGTTGGTTGGGCATCGTGCTGTACACTGAAAGGTTGCCGATTCGATTTCCAGTCAGGATTCATGCCCAGGTTGCAGGCTTGATCCTCAGCAGGGCATATGCAGGAGGCAGTTGATCGATGTTTCTCCCTCTCTCTCCCTTACTCTCTAAAAACCAATGAACTCTTTTTAAAAAATCAGTCTATAATTTATATGCTTTATCTTTATAATTCCAAATAAATGGGTACTGTACAGAAATGTCCTGTTATTCCATTATTATGTTAAACCAGCCATAATATATAGGGTTGGGCAAAACTAGGTTTACAGTTGTTCGTATGGAAAAATAATACAATAATTAACAAATATACAAGAAAGAATAAACTCCATTTAGAGTACTCACAACTATAAACCTACTTTTGCCAAACCCTGTATATTATGGTAAAAGATTAGTAAACATTGTTTATTATAATACTCTACTGTTTAACATAAGCCATATTAACTATTTTCTGCATTTTAATTTCATTCATTGGTTTCCTTTTTTAGAAGGCTTAACTGAACAGCTCTACAATGTTTTTGGTTTCAATAATATTTAACTCCTGTTAAACTATGGTTTATACTGATACATAACTATGATCCTGAAAATGATCATAGTTTCTATATAAAAATTTTGGATGTATATAAAATTTCTATATAAAAAAAATGGATGTACTGAGAAAGGCATAACATTAACATAAAGAAGCCAGAGCTTTACTTACTCTCCTCTCCACAGACACATACTCCATAATTTAAAACCAGATGCTTGTGAGAAAGCTGGCTCATCATGCTTGCTGCTTCAAAGAAAGACTAAGGAAAAGAAAACCATACAAAAAATGCAAAAGAATTATTGTTTGTGCCTATAAGTATTCACAGTTCAGAAAGATGTTCTTTGGCGGTGCAGTGGTTCTCAACCTTCCTAACGCCGCGACCCTTTAATACAGCTCCTCATGTGTGGTGACCCACAACCATAAAATTATTTTCGTTGCTACTTCATAACTGTAATGTTGCTACTGTTATGAATCGTAATGTAAGTATCTGATATGCAGGATGTATTTTCATTGTTCGCGACCCACAGATTGAGAACCGCTGGTAGAGAAATGCACTTTCTCCTCTTCTCTGCAGAACTATATATGTAAGGCTACGATGTGCTTTGGTCCCCTTATATGGTCTTGCAATGCCATCAATCTTAATGCTAGAGTTCACCCTGAAGAAACCCCTCAATAAGGCTGGAATAGAAGATAGCAATGGAAAAGAGCAATAGTGACACAAGGCAGCATGAATGATGGAAGATACACAGGCTTAGACTCATGACACCTAGAGTAGAAGACAGAGGTACAAACAGAAGTAGACACCAGAGAGAGTGATATGAGATTGAAGTAAGTGGATGGGAGCTTCAAATAACACTTCCTAAGGAATTGGAATGTACACCTGGAACTAATATAGTGTATGGCAACTGTAATTAAAAATTAAAATGATTTAAATTTAAAATAAAAAAATTTTAAGTAAAAAAAAATTATCTCTGTGCATATAAAATATCATGACAACTATGTTGGGAGATTAGCATGGTATTAACATCACTCTAACTCAACTAAACTTTGACTAGAACTTCTGGCTATTGCTACTGAAAATCATATTCACCAACACTGCAGTGTTCTGGATTAGAACAACTCTTTGACTTGTATGTTTCACATCCTCTTCTTACTAACATCCTTTAAGATATTTTAAACATCACAAATGTTTGGTGATGCTGTGCTATGCTAAGAACTCAGGCAAATAGCAGCTGGGTTTCTGTGGGCGAGTATCTCTGTAATCCGTATTTCAACTAGAATGTTTCTTAGTACAAACTTTTTAAAAAATTGATTTTTAGAGGGAGAGGGAAAGAGAGAAAGAAACATCAATGTGAGAGCAAAGCTTCAATCAGTCTTCTGAACACCCTCCACTGGGGATCAAGCCCGCAAAAGGGGTATGTGCCCCAACCAGGAACCAAACCAGTAACCCTTCAGTGCACAGGACGATGCCCAACTAACTGAGCCACACAGACCAAAGCTAAACTCTCTCTCTCTTTTTATTTTTAAGTAGATGACATTATGAAAGAAATCTGTCGAGCCCATAAAGCTCTGGGAACCAAGTCTGAAAACCACTGCCTTAGTATATGCAGAGACATAATGATACCCTTAACACAATGCCAAAAGTAGTTTTAAAATGTTATTATAAAAATCCTATATAATAAAGCCCTAATATGCAAATCGACCAAATGGTGGAATGACCAGTCACTCTGACATGCACTGACCACCGGGGGGCAGACGCTCAACGCAGGAGCTGCCCCTGGTGGTTAGTGTGCTCCCACAGGGGGAGCGCGGCTCCGCCAGAAGCTGGGCTCATGGCTGGCGAGCACAGCAGTGGAGTGGCGGGAGCCTCTCCTGCCTCTGCTACAGGACTAAGGACCCCTCAGGGGATGTCCATCTGCCGTAACCTGGCAGTCGGACATCCTCTGAGGCGTCCCAGACTGCAAGAGGGCTCAGGCCGGGACCCCCACCCTCCAGCGCACGAATGTTGTGCACCAGGCCTCTAGTATTCTATAATTTTCTATAGCCACACTAGAAGGCCATCCTCAGAAAGGTCCTTGATATAAACTTTTTAAAGTTACAATTTTGAAAAGCTGCAAGCATGATGTGTTGTGTGCATATTAAGCCCACATCTTTAAATATCATAAACTATATAAACTACACAAAGAGTATACATACCTCTGAATAGTTTCTATGTGCTTTATCCAAAACTTTTAAAAGAACTTCTGTTTCATGCAGTTGACCATAATCTCCTACTTCTCTTCTTACACCTTTAAAAATTTTTGTAAAAGTGCCTTGGCCAAGACTTTCATTCTTTAAAAGAAAGAAAGAAAAGAAAATAATGAGTAAAGATAGATAAAGATGTGAGAATTAGGAAATATGTTCAATGACAAAGAGTAAAAAAAAAAATCTATGAGCAAATATTTCCCAGATTTAAGACTCCGGATTATATTCTGCTTCCTTATACAATAATAGAAGACAAAAAAATAAGGATTAATGAATAAAGTGTATTTTTGTTCCACCCATTCTTAAACCCCTTGGGTTGGCTATAATTATCACCTATATTTACCTACTTTTTTTTTTTTATCTACCTACATTTATTTACATGTGAAATTTTGTTGCTGTTGTTGCCTTTCCTAATAGTGCAGTATAATGGCAGTACAGTATGGTCTGTGGAGGCAGCATATCTGACTTGTTCCATATTACCTACTACCTTCTAGTTGTCTGACCCTATACACAGTCTTCAGGTTACGTCACACTCGAGGTCATTTTGTGGTTACGTTGCCATCTCCCATTTATTTATAAAAAAAGAGTTCTGTCATTTCGACGTATGTACATATGTGCTTTGTTTTTTATTATTAATTTACCACAAGGTCAGGAATTGTTATCTTTCTTTTAATTTTTTTTTTTTTTTTTTTTTTTACTGTTTCACTTCATTACTGCTGTGTATGTGCTCCATGTTCTCTTTATGGAACTTGGATATCAGTGATCATTTTCCTACTCATTCTGCTCAACATGAAAATTTTTCAGATCTCTCTGCCAATTCACTAATTATCTTTTCAACTAAAGGTAATCTGCTTATTAACCTGTTCATTTTGTATCACTGTCAATGAGTGTGATTTTCCATTTCTATATTTTTCTTCTCTAAATATTTGTTCTTTTTTAAAAAGTGTCTTGTTTTTCCCCCATGCTTCCATTGCCTTTTATATCTTTAAAAATATGTATTTTATTGTAGGGCATGGCTATAGGGTTAAGCCTCGGACTGACCTGTTGGCAAAGTCACAAACAAGTCCCAGCTTAGAGGGCACAGTCCTCTTAGCATAATTAGACTTGACCTTATGATGCTCCCTAGATCTTATCTGGGAAGCTAATGGGCTGAGGGAGGTGCAGCAAGTGCTGCCAAAACAAGTGAAAACTCACAAGAACAGTGTAACTTTGGTAACCACTACCTTGTTTACCTCTGGCTATAAAATAAAGGCTCAGCTTGCCTCTGGATCTCTCTCTGTGGCCTCAGCCGGGCACAGGAAGATCCACCTAGACCCAGCTTATTCTCTTTTTCATTTTCTCCATTCTTCTCTGCCCTCACTCAGGCTTTTGAACCCTCGGCTGAGCTGGCTCAGCACATTTTATAATCTCTTTCTAAAAATCTGTTATATGAAATACTTTGATGTTTGCTGGTCTGCTTACTCTTGGTTATTCTAGGGCTATTTCCCTTTTAATTTTTTCAATTAAAAGCTCATGCTTGGCCCTAGCCAGTTTGACTGAGTGGATAGAGTGTCGGTCTGGACCAAAGGGTCCTGGTTTGATTCCAGTGGGGGGGTAAGGGGGGCAGGGGTACATACCTCGGTTACAGGCTCCCCTGCTGCCTGGGCCCAGGTTGGGGCGCATGCAGGAGGCAACCAATCAATGTGTTTCTCTCTCACTGATATTTCTGTCTTTCCCTCTCTTTTCCACTCTCCCTAAAAATCAATGGAAAAATATCCTCGAGGGAGGATTAAAAAAAAAAAAAAAAAAGCTCATGTTTGGAGTCATTTCATCGGTAGACTTCTGAGTGAGCGAGGTTAAGAATATGTTCTTCCAAAAAGATTTTGTTTTTGCTTCTGCCAAGCACTACAAGGTATTACTAGGGGAGTATCATTTTTTTTTATTTTAATTATTAGGTTAGATCAGGCAGGTGGTATAAACCCAAACTCAAAAGTCTATGATTACAAATTCTCAGGAGAGACATTTTTTCCTAAGAGCCCACCTAAAACAACACTTCTCTTCCCCTTTTGCTAGTGGGTGAATTTTTCACAATCCACATATTGTTTTACTGAGAATGTATTTATTTGAAGGTCCTGGCTTTATTCAGACATGGCCTCACTTTTAACTCCTGCTCTTCTATAGGCCTTAAGACTTGGCCCTACTTTTAGATCTTAATCTCCTTGATTAGTGAGACTAATCCCAACCCCCAACATCATTCTATAGCCAAACCATCAGATATTATGTACTACTTTATTTTCAGTTTCTTTTTTTTTAATATTTTTATTGATTTCAGAGAGGAAGAGAGAGGGAAAGAGAGATAGAAACATCAATTGATTGGCTGCGTCCTGCACACCCCGCACTGGGGATCGAGCCCGAAACCCAGGCATATGCCCTTGACCGGAATCAAACCCGCGACCCTTGAGTCCACAGGCTGACGCTCTATCCACTGAGCCAAGCTAGCTAGGGCCTTTCTTATTTTTAATCCCTTGAATTTCCCTTACTTTCTCTACAATTTGAGAATTAAGATATAGGTCTTTTGTAGAAGAAGATTTTTAATTTTTAATTTAAGATTTATAAAGAAATTTTTAAAATCCTGTAAAAAAATACAATTCCCTTCTTAAAATAACATTATTAATTTCTCGCTTAAGTTTGGTATTACACTTTCACAAGAAATAAAAGTATTTAAAGTGCAAAAAATTTTAATATAGTTTATAATAAAACACTTCCAAATGTCACATGAATATAAGTGGGAAACATTTGTTATTTTATTTTATTTTTTTATTTTTATTTATTTATTTTATTTTTTTATTGCTTAAAGTATTACAAAGGGTATTACATATGTGTCCATTTTATCCCCCCGCCCTAGACAGTCACCTAGCCTCCCCTATCCCCCAGTGTCTTATGTCCATTGGTTATGCTTATATGCATGCATACAAGTCCTTTAGTTGATCTCTTACCCCCCTACCTCCTGCCCCCCAACCCTCCCCGGCCTTCCCGCTGCAGTTTGACAATCTGTTTGAGGCAGCTCTGCTTCTGTATCTATTATTGTTCAAAAGTTTATAATGGTCTCTATTATCCATGAATGAGTGAGATCATGTGGTATTTTTCCTTCATTGACTGGCTTATTTCACTTGGCATAATGCTCTCCAGTTAACATTTGTTATTTTAAAAGGACAAGAAAGACCATAATCAGCATCTAGTGACTTACAAATACTAAATCTTCATTTCTGATTTTGTGAAACACCATTTGGTTCACATTATTATGTCTCTGTAATGTTGGTGAGGTTGGTACATCAGAAACACTATTTGTTCTAAAGACGAGAAGGTTTGATTTATCTGTAAAAGAAAAAAAAGAAATAATGAAAACATATATAACCAAAACATGCTGAGGACATAAAGTTCTCCAAGAGGGTAAAATAAAATATGTTCTAAATATAAGAAATGCTTAATAACTTTGACTGTTCATTTTTTTCTATAGAAAATTATTTTATCAGTTTATTCACTGAACTTTAATGTACCTTAACCAGTTATTTCAAATATTCAAAATTATTCACTTCCATAACTCAATTTTCAGGAATTTTAATAATTTTTAATAATCATTGTTTCACAAGATTTCCAACCTTACTATTTTTATTTTAAAAGTATAAGAAATTATAGTGTTTACTTAGAACCACATATGAGAATTTGGTAGTGAGGTCTTTCACTTCAATTAATAAATGATTGATTTATATCAAGCATTATTATTTTTAATATCATTTTAGAATTATAGAACTTCATGTCACTTCTAGAAAACCCAAACCAAACTGAACAAACCTATTTGAGGATATATTTATAAAGAAGGAGGCAAAAGTAATCTGTTTATGGAGCTGTTGCTTTCATCTTTCTTTTTAAATCAATATACTAAAGCTATCACTCACTATATACACAAGCCATGACCCGTATTTTTAAAATAACTAGAAAATTATTTTACCTTTTGGCTTTGGAGGACAGCATTTTGTAAACTGGAAAATTATATTGTCTGAGCGAACAGTTTCCATCTGGTAGCAATTCAAAAGATCTTTAAGATTATTGAAGTTCTTCTTAGTTCCACTGAGGTTGTATTCTCCATTCTCATTTTTTGTAATCAAACAGTGCTTATATTCAATGACATTATCACGCTATATAAGTTTAATTATAAAGAGAGAGAGGGAAAATCACAATGGACATCATAGTGATTACTATTACAAAATGGATTTCACAAAACTAACCAACAAAATATTTAGACATTTGAATCATGAATCCTAGTATAGTATCAGAGTAGGGTAATAGAGGTGCTTGATTCCTCAAAAAGAACTATATTATATAAGGCTAAAGAAATGGCTTAACAGTTGACTTTATTTTTTAAAAAGCAATGATAATTAACAATAATAATACCATCCTTAACAGTTTTCCATCACTTATAAGATAAAGTCTATAACCAATTTAGAGTATAAGGTGTTCCTTGAGCAGGATTCTGCCTCCATCTCCAATCTCAACTTCTGCCAATTACAAAATACAGCCTATGTTCCGGCTATATTGTGACTCAAGAAATTCCAAGCAAGTGCCATGCTATTTCATGATAACTGTACATGCTCTCTCTCTACCTATGAGTGTACATGTTTTCTTTCTGAGCAATGGACTTTTATTCATTCCTAAAACTTAGTTCACATACCACTTCCTGTGAGGTCCTCCCTATAACTCTCACCACATTCCACAAGCAAAGGTCATTCCCATTCCACTGTGCCACTACTGTATTTGTGTAATTGTCTCCAATATGGGAATGTTAATATTTTTCAGTTTTTCAATGTCTGTCTTATGTGCTTGTTCATTAACAAGCTTATTCATTCATCTATTTTTTGAGTGGCTTCTTAATAAGCATATTCAACCTATTTAGGACCATTTGTATAAACTCAACTAAATACTTCAAGGTCTATCTCAAATCCTTCCTACTCCAAAAGATCTTTAACTGTATTTTCTGTTGTTGTCTATGCCTATACTATATAATAAAGAGCTAATATGATAATTAGACCGAACAGAACGATCATTGGGACATCCTTCAGGACGACCGTCCGGAGGACCTTTGGGACGAAGCCAGGGCTGCAAGGGGCTGTGAGGGCCGGCCAGGGCTGCAAGGGCCTGTGAGGGCCGGCCAAGGCTGCGAGGGGCTGTGAGGGCCTGCAAGGGCCGGCCAAGGCTGCAGGGCTGTGAGGGCCAGCCAAGGCTGCGAGGGGCTGTGAGGGCCGGCCAAGGCTGTGAGGGGGCTGCCAAGGCTGGCTGAGGCTGCAAGGGGCTCCCAGGGCTGAGCCCCTTGCACAAATTTTGTGCATCAGGCCTCTAGTACTGAATAATTACAATGCTCAATTTAGTAAATTTTTTGTATTCTTTCTTCTTTTTTCCCAAAAGACAAACTTCTTGAAACAGGGCTATGTAACATACACTCCCTAATACATAACAATATATTCATTTTGATTTGATAATTGAATATAATGAGCTACTATAATTTCAGTGAGAAAATATTGTGAAATTAGGATAGAGCATTTTACAATACTAAAGTTGTAGAGTAACCTACCTTCTGTTTTTATGGACAATAAATCCACTCTGCATATACTAAATATAACAACTGTATTTTATAAAACTTAAAATAACTGAATAACAAAATCCTTACTTTCTATATTTTAAAAAAACAAGATAAATTTTGGAAGCTAATATAAAGTTTTTCAAGATTTATACCATGAAACTGCCTTATAAGTGATACTATCTTTTTAGATAATTTTGGATTGTAAACAATCTTACATGGCATACAAATAATCTGCATTAAGAGTGAGGTTTCACCGTTAGAGCATCGTCCTGATATGCCAAGACTGCAAGTTCAGTCCCTGGTCAGGGCACATACAAGAATCAACCAATGTTGCATATAAAAGTGGAACAAGTTGATATTTCTCTCTCTTTAAAATCAATCAATAAGTAAATAATTTTAAAATGTTTTTAAAAAATGAGGTTTCATTGTAGTTTTAAGCTTAAAACATACATTGTAGATTGTCATTCTTAATATTGAAAGAGGTTAGCCCTGGCTGGGTGGCTCAGTTGACTGGAGCATTTTACATCAAAAGGTTGCAGGTTTGATTCCCGGTCAGGGCACACACCTAGGTTGCAGGTTCAACCCCGGTGGGGCGAGTAAGGGAGGCAACCAATGAATGTTTCTCTCTCACATCGATGTTTCTCTCTATCTCTCTCTCTCTAGTCAATACAAAACATCCTCAAGTAAGGATTTTTTAAAAATAAAAAAACCCACCACTAGCTAAAAGTTCAGTAATGTTTGTTTCTTTGTTATAACCTTATTTTACTCTAATCTTATAACCATTACTAGTAAAAGGAAAGTTTACTTCTGATTTATTGTGTTCTATATGTTTTGGTAAAGATTTCCATCTTTCTGAAAAAAGAGACTTTAAGAGAACTGATGCAGTATGACACCCTTGTGACACCCAAACACCAAAAAATAAAGTAAAATAAATTCTACATTAAAAGACAGAAGGACATTATAAATCATTTTATATTTTTATATAAATCCTAGGAATTATAATTTATTATACATGCAGGATTCCTGGGGTAAATTAAATATTATTATGCTAGCTATATCCAGAGCTATAATTCAGAGTATTAAAAAGGAAATATATATGGTACCTAAACATGAAGGGGAAATTATATAGACTAAATAAAGATGTTACTGTTAATGAATGTGACATACTAACCTCGACAGCAAAAGTCAAAAAATATTTATTAAACTCCTTAGGACTGCATCGAAGTACATAAAGTCCAGTCTGATTACCTGCTTTCTTCAGTTTACTTATGGCAAAATCCATTCTAAACATAAAGAAGTAATGTGAATGATAACATAGCAAGATATCATCTAAAAGATCAAAAGTCAAATCTAAAACTCAGAATTTTTAGAAGTCTCCTCTACTTTGTAAGTTTATCAATAATCTTGTAAGGAAAAATATTAAGTTCAAACCAATTCAAGGGACAATTATATTGCTTTAAAAACAAATCAACAGCATTAGAGGACACACAAAATCACAAAGAACAACTCATTTATTTGAATTTTCTGCCTTCTGATTGCAAACTTAGTATTTTAAAAACAATACTCTCATAAACACTTATGTCTCTTCTACCATAGCAATTTCTAATATAAAAATTTATGTGCATTATTTTAATACTTAATATAATCCAAAGTCTACTAGAAGACCAATTGCAAGTAACAAAGACTACTGATTTTTAAAATCTGCTATATGCTTTATCGAAGCTGCACATCTTGAAAGAAAAATCAAAATGTAATTTACATGAAAGCAAGAATCATCTATCACTATCTCGTAACACACCTAGGCAACTCAAATTATACAAATAAGAAGTATTGTAGATTGAGATACAGGTAATAAATTATATCCTAAATAATTCTAATTATTATTTATATCTTATTGCAAATAGACTTTTATTACAAAAAAACTTCAGTTAAGTTCTTTTTTTCTAAACTCCTAAACCAGTGATGGCGAACCTATGACACGTGTGTCAGAGGTGACACGCGAACTCATTTTTTTGGTTGATTTTTCTTTGTTAAATGGCATTTAAATATATAAAATAAATATCAAAAATATAAGTCTTTGTTTTACTATGGTTGCAAATATCAAAAAATTTCTGTATGTGACACGGCACCAGAGTTAAGTTAGGGTTTTTCAAAATGCTGACATGCCAAGCTCAAAAGGTTCACCATCACTGTCCTAAACCTATGTACATCACTCTGTTGTATAAAACCTTTTTTGTAAATATTTCATTTACTATTTAAAAAATTTACTTCTAGCTCTAGCAGGTTTGGCTCAGTGGATAGAACGTTGGCCCGCAGACTAAAGGGTCTCAGGTTCAATTCTGGCCAAGGGCACATACATACCTTGGTTGCAGGCTCAATCCCCAGCCCTAGTCAGGGCACGTACGGGAGGCAACCAATGATGTGTCTCTCTCACATCTCTCTCTCTCTCCCTCCCTCTCTCTCTTTCTCTCTCTCTCTTTCTCTCAAAATCAATGGAAAAATATCCTCAGGTGAAAATTAACAACAACAAAAATTTACTTTTAAACTATGTTTTACTTACGAAATTGGGCCATGACAATTGCTTTGTATATTTTCAAGCACCACTGGAGATGCTACTTCTTTACAGAGGTAATGATGTGCATCTGCAGTTAATCTATAATATCCATCAATTAATGACACAAAAGACAAAGCCTCCTTTAATGAACTAAGTTCAATTTCCTAAGCAGAGAAAAGAAAAGTATCATTTAAAAAGTCAACTGCATGCTACATATTGAAAATTCTCTTTGCTCCATGTTGTTAGATTAATTCTCCTAAATTTTTTTCCACATTGCTCAAATGTCTTTTATGGCCCAATTTGAATTATAAATTATTCTAATATTTAAGACGCTCTTAAACATAAGCTTATTATGCTTTTCCAGTTATCATTCACTCTACATCCATAATTTTACTATATTTTCCAGTATCCCCATTAGAAAAATGCCAGTTATCTCAATTAGAAATCTATCTAATCCAATATAAGTTGGTATTAATTAGAAATAATGATTTGTTTTTACATACCAAATATACACTGCTAAGTTAAAGTACTTATGCTAAAAACTAAAATGTATACAATATAAACTTAAATCATATATAGTCTACTAGGGAGTAGGTGCACACTATTAATTCATATTTTTATCTAAGAACAGGAAAGCTTGCTGACTAAAATGAGTTGCAAGTTAATTATAATTTTGGTAATATAAACCTGAACTGGCCAGAGAGGTACATACAGATACTTAAGTTAAATAATCAAATAACACTAATATGACATTTAAGCCAGGAAGTTAAGAAATATCGGAGCTGAAAACAGAGCCACATAAATAAGACATTTAAAAGCAGGGTATAAAATAATGTATTTCTTTTTCATAGAGGAGGGGCATATAATAGAAACAGATTTTCTTACCGACCCTGGGAAACTGAAGCACATGTTACAAGAAGAACAAGCCCGGGAGATAAGGTATCCCAGCGACCAGATCAAGGACAGAACGTATCTGAAGGGAGGCAGCATTCGGGGCTAATCTTTACAAGAACAAGGAAAAAAGGCAGTCCCTGGGAACTCACTAACTGAAGATTTTCCCCACCCACTAATCCTACAGAAGAGTTCTTTTGAAATGAAAGGTCAGAGAGCAGGATATTCAGGATGACCTGCTGCTTTCTCAATACTGCCAGCATTATTGGAATAAACGCTTATTAGTATATATTGATTCAATCTTGTCTCTGCTTAATTTGGATCAAGTAGTGACAGTTGGCCTTGGACCCATTTAGTGTCTAGTTACATTTCATTTCAATTAAAATAAGTGGGATTTCTGAAGATATTTAATAAAAGAGAAAGGGTTAAATCTTTTATAATCAATCATGTCTTACAGCTTGGGCAGGCTGATCTGGGATTGGTTTACATTTTGCTATATAAATTCCTGGTAGTATTGTTTTGATTTCTTTCTCTCCTTTAATTAGGCAGTATGACTGGTATTATTCACATATCCATAGGTTAAAAAAAAAAAAAAAGATGATAATCAGGAATAAGAACTACAACAGGGCCCTTGCCAATTTGGCTCAGAGTGGATAGAGCATCAGTTTGCTGACCAAAGGGGCCCGGGTTCAATTCCAGTCAAGGGCATGTACCTCGGTTGCAGGTACCTCAGTTGCAGGCTCCTCCCTGGCCCCAGCCCTGGTCAGGGCTCATGCAGGAGGCAACCAATTGATGTGTTTCTCTCACATCAATGTTTCTCTCTGTCTTCCCCTCTCTTTCCCTCTCTCCCTAAAAATCAATGGAAAAATATCCTCGGGTGAGGATTAACAAAACAAACAAACAAACAAAAGAAAAACAGGGAACTAGTGCAACCCAGAGTAGGAAGAAAAAGTAGCTAATGCTTTACTAATCATAAAAATGAATGAAAAACACATTAATGTACAAGAAACTCCATCGGAAGATAGTTTTGGTAGTGACACAAAAAGCTAGATGTAATAAAAAAGCTTACTAAACTGATATTTAGAGCTATATTTAAAACTATTAATAAAAATTTCTACAAGATACCTTGGATATTAAAATAAATACTTCTAAAAACTGTATAACATAACCATTATTTAGTTATAAAGCAAACTTACCAGGTTTTTACCATCTTGCTTATGGATAGTTACAATTCTGCTTTCATTTGAGCCTTCTTGGCTTGCCTGCTTAATACTGACATCAATAATATCGGGAAAGTCACAATATAACTGTAAATCCTATAATTAAGAGTATTTGAAATTAAAAACAGAATCTATGGAGCCATTTTAAAATAAGACTTATGATATAACATTCACTAACAAATTCTTTAAGATAAAAAAGTATTGATAGCAATAAGTAAGTATTAAATGGGATTCTCTCCCCCAATATTCACCCTAGACTACACTGTATCTTGCTTTGACTTAAAAATGAGAGCATTAAAGGGTGCCAGAAATCTTAAGTGTGCTCTAGTACTCTTCAATCCAATCAACAGTAATAGCAATTGCCAGAAAATTAAAAGTTTACCACAGAATGAAGACTAGAATATTTTAAAATCTCTAATAATAATCTAACAACAGATAAGAACAAACTTAAACTTATAATACAATCCTAAGACATACTAAATTATTTAACCATACTTCATCATAAAATTAATTAAAATTAACCTTTTCTAGGATATTAAGTTTTATGATTATGCCTCCTATATCAATAATAGTAAAAGAAAAAATATTTTTTAAAAATAGTAAAAGAAATAAAGAGGCAAAAATACCTTAAAAATAACTTTATGCCATTTCTGAAGCTATAAGAATACCATTACTAATTTTGTCATAAAGAATTAAATAAAAAACATTTGAGAACAATCAGAAAAGATCTATAGATATAACCTCTACACTTACACTTCTATCAATGGGAGAAGAAAAGTACAAGGCCATGTTTCAAATGACTAAAATTACTTTACTTCTACTGCCATTCTACTTAAATTAACAAAGAATGAGAACATATCATTAAGAATTACCTGTTCTGTCAGTGTTTCACTTTCTTTATGTTTCCCTCTTGACCACTGAATTCCACCGTTTCCAGTTATTATAATGGTTGCAAAAATCTCCTCACCTGAAGGACCTCTTCCAGGTTCTTTTACTTCAAATTGCTCTGTGTAGAAGGCAGACTGAAGAGTTTCCAGATTTATAAGATACTTAAGTTTCAAGTTTTTGGCAGTGGCTTTGCAATGGCTGAATTGCTCAATAAATCTGCGAAATCGGTACCTTATTCGCTTTCTTGTCAAAATATGATAGTCTTGGATCTTTGCTCGAATACATTTTGGTAAGAATGTCTTATAGCTAGGCATAAAGAACACACACAGTGAAACAAAACATTTGGAATATAAATCTAAAACAAAAGTAAAAGAGAACTTACCACCTTTTTCCATGATAAGTGCTATAAGAACACAAGTGGAGAAAGATGACATAGTTACCACTGAAAAGAAGTAAGAAATGGTGGACCTTGAAAATGACTTCAAGTTTTCTCACTGCACAGAATATAGTCAGTAATGTATAGTTGGATAAACATTTTTATAGGCTAGCTTCAATAAATCCTAATAATTCTTTTGCAATCAAACAATTTCATTTGGAGTCTTTTGTACTACTTCCTTCTCTATGTAAAATATCCTAAAGAAAGTGGATAACTTATTTCCCTCCTGCTCAAATATCTGACAAATAATTAACACTTTATTTCTGCAAAAACAACTATATTAAATTTCCATGCCTTTCACATATGCCAATCCTTCTTCCCATCACCCAGCCCCTAAAAGTTTAGCTCTTACTCATTGTACAAGTCTCAGTTCAAGCATCATCAAATCCAGGAAACCTTTGGAACCTCTAGATGCAGCCTGATTTGTCTGACAGTATTCTGTGCACTGCTCCATAACATCATTTATCACTCTATACTGTACTTGAGTATACACAGCCGGTGATGGAATAGCTAATGCTAACAGCTTATTATTACACTTTAGGAATTATTTTGAGCTGTTAAACAGCCATCATTAAAATTTAAGTTATAAAAACTTACAACTGAATAAAATATATTAAAATATAGATAATAAGTACTCAAAACATATTACTTCCTAATTATTTTACATTAAAATTTTTATTTTATATTTTACTACTATCTATGCTTTTGAGATTATGAATGTCTATCATATATGAGTGGTGAAAAGGGTTTGCTACTGCTCATCTCTTCCCAATTCAGTGGTATCAAGTTGATACCTTGAGATTGGCTGTGAAGGGAGTATCCATGGATATCAGCAAAAATTACAAACCAGACCTTTCTTGCCACCTCACCAAGAACAGGTTGTTAAACATTTACCAATTTACCACTTCCTACTCCCTACTCCCCTCACCCACCCAACCCCAACACACACACTCTCCACTGTAAGTCCCTGGAGGAACTCTCTGTTTTGTAAACAGCCAGCGCTGCTGGAGAAAGTTATCTGACAGGGTACATGTGCTGCATCGTAAATTCATAGTCACCTATCCTATCGAATAAAGAGGGAATATGCTAATTGAGTCACACCCTCACAAAGATGGCGGTGCCCACAGCCAATAAAGAGGGAATATGCTAATTGACTATCATGCCCTCAAAGGCGGCAGCGCCCACAGTCACAAGATGGTGGCGCACAGTCTCCTCAGCCCCCCAGCCACCCAGGGCCAGCCCGAGGCACAGGCAAGCCTCAGATGGTGGCTGCCCAGCTGATGCCCGAGGTGCAGACAAGCCTCAGATGGCAGCTGCCCAGCCGCCCAGGGCTGGCCCAATTAGGGATTGACATACAAAATATTAAGTATCACCCAGCCGGTGTGGCTCAGTGGTTGAGCATTGAACCAGGAAGTCACAGTTTGATTCCAGGTCAGGGCACATGCCCAGGTTGCAGGCTCAATCCCCAACAGGGGGCATGTGGGAGGCAGCCAATCAATGATTCTCCCTCATCATTGATATTTCTATCTCTCCCTCTTTCTCTCTGAAAACAATAAAAAAAAAAATTAAGTATCACCCTGGCCAGTATGCTTAGTGGTTAGAGCGTTGGCCTGTGCACCAAAGGGTAGAGGGTTTGTTTCCCCATCAAGGGCACATACCTGGGTTGCAGGTTTGATTCCCAGAAAGGTCAGGGCATGTGCGGGAGGGAACCAATCGATGTGTGTTCTCGTTCTCTCTCTCTCTCTCTCTCTCTCTCTCTCTCTCTCTCTCTCTTCCTCTCCCTACCCCCTTCCTTCCACTCTCTCTAAAAATCAATGGAAAAAATATCCTTGGATGAGGATTAACAATAACAAACAATTAAGTATTTAACACATACAGATGCACAAACACATGCGGTTCATATGCACATAGAGGCTTGTGCTGACAGACACAGACATACCTAACACACAGGCACAGATACAAAGAGGTGCACCTTTCATGTATTTTCTTTTTAAGTCTGGGAAAGGGTATGTATTTAGTTATACTAATCAGAGCTCCATACTCTACTGGATATTTCTGGGAACAAAGCAGCTTATTTATTTAACTAGAGGCCTGATACACGAAATTCGTACAAGAGCCTTGGCCTGGCCCCTGCCCACCACCACCACGGCCGGGGCCCTCTGCCACTTCTGCCTCGCCCCTGCCCACTGCAGCTTTGTCCGGAAGTAAGGATGTCCAGAAGGATGTCTGGTCTAATTAGCATATTACCCTTTTGTTATTACAGATTCTGCCCCAAACTAATAATTCATCTGTTTTCCCATTAATCTTAAATATTTTAACATTGAGCAGAGTCTTTATTTCTCAGAAATGAACACTAAATGAGAATTCAGAAACTATCAGTGAGTTAAATTATATTAACAAGGCAAGCAAGGCAGGTATGTTTTTAACTTCAGGACAGGCATAAATTATTTATCAAATTAAAATATCATGGTGCAACAGGCAAAAGAAAAAGCTGGAAAATTAGACTACTTCAAAATTTAAATTCTTGTGCTACAAATGATACTTTTAAGAAAGTGAAAAAAACAATATACAGAATGGGAAAATATTTGCAAAACATATATATGATAACTTATATATGTAGTCTTATATCCAAATATAGACTCCTTACAAATCAATAAAAAATATTGAATTGTACAGTTTAAGTGTGTGAATTTTACAGTATGTGAAATATATATCAATAAAACTGTTTTAAAATACCATGAAATTTTATAATGAATGTTTGATATCTATATAATTTTAAAAGAAAAATAATGCAGAATTTGCAGATGCATTTATATCCTGATTAAGAAAAACCACAGAAATACCATTACTAAACATTCACTGAGTTTAGGACACTGGACTAAATAATATAGGGAGAGGAAGAGAGGGCATAATTCCTGACATTAAGAAACCACAGGATTGTGCCAAGACTTTGGGCAATATCATGGTCTCCAAAGCAGAAGTGTTCCACCAAAGCATAAGCCTAGAGATGGCTTCATATTTATAAAATTCAAGGTTTCTCTGTTCCTTAACTGTGTTCCCCTCAGTTCCTTTAGTTTCCATCAATGGTATGTAAAATGCTCCTCCCCTGACTCTGTTCTCCTATGGTCTGGCATATAGCAGGTATTCAATAAATGCTGTTACTGAGTGAATGAATGAACAAATGAATGAGGCCTTAGTGAAAACAGAAATGGTTTTGTTTTTCCTTTGGGCTTTGAAATCTTCTAGATTCCTCAGTGAATTCCTGAAATCATACCCTATAGCTCCTACCCTTAAGTTAAGGCTTAATGAACATCTGAAAGCAAGAAAGGAACACTTAAAACCAAAGAGGGAAACAAGAAATCGATACCCTGCAAATTGCATATGAACTGTTTTGAACACACTCAGTGACTTAAGTCCATCATTGAGAGAAGCATTTCAAGGAATAAAGGGAGTTTTAACCAGATTCATGGCATCTTCAAACTTTTACTCTGGTAAATATGCAATAGGTAAGACATATTATTTCATATTCAGACTTAAAAAAAAAACCAAAGCAATCTTATATACTATATATCCATATTCCTATATATCTTTAAAAAGAGTGGAAGTTTTCCAGCCATAAAAGCTGGGCTGCAAGAGTAGTGTTTCAAAAACTGTATTTGGTAATACTTTCAACAATAAAGAATTATTTTAAAAAGAAATTTTAAAAAATTATATTTGGCATGATTGTCAAAATTCAATATGCAGAAGAATAATTTGAAGTGTGTGGAGTATGCTTCACTTGTGGAAGATTCTGCTGAATCAGTTATAAGATGAATAAGGTCTGAGGATCTAATGTACAACACACTGACTAATTAACAACACTATATATGTATAGGTAAAATTTTCTAAAAAGAATAGAACTTAAAAAGTCTCTCCCTGCCACCACCACCACCACCCCCCCCCAAAAAAACCACAACAATACTCAAAAAATAAATATGTGAGGTGGTGGATGTATTAATAAACTTCATAGGGAATCCTTTCACAATGTATATCAAATCATGATGATGTACACTTTAAATATTGTGGATGAAAGGGGCCACATGCTAACCTAACACTCTCAGGGAAAAGTAACCACAAAGGAGGGCCTGAAATTAAACTTTAACTAAAAGCAGTTATGCTGGGTAGTTATGTCCTAGGCCGGTATCTTCACTGACAAGGTCAATCTTTACCTTAACTGACTCTGTCTTTTTGCACCTATGATAACCTATCCTTGAAATGTCTAGGTAACTTGTAACTTGTCTTTTTCCAGACCCCTTGGGTACAACCAATGTACCTGGGCATGAGGACAGATAAGTGTCTATCATTTTACTTTTTATCCAATCCCAGAGGTTCTGCCCCACCCCTCCACCCCCACTTTGCTTTCTCACACATCTCTAATCTATCATGTAACCCACCTGCATTCCCTCTTTTTGATTGCCATATATAAAAATAGATGGAAAAAACCGCCATTCTCTGGAGCATTATCCCAATCCATTGAGATACTGCTTCCTGGCAGCTGTCAACAGTTTGGCTCAAATACACTTAGAAAAAATTCTTTACAGGTTTGAATGTTTTTACATTAACTATATCTTACAATTTTATGTCAATTATACTTCAATAAAACTTATTTTTTTTCAATCTCCTGGAGCACTTATAAAAATTCCTATTTGTAGACCTCACCTCAGATTTACTAAATCCAAATTGTTGGGTTAGAGCCCAAGAATTTTCCATTTTAGCAGGAACCTCAGGTGATAGTAATTCAAGTAAAATATGGACACTATTAGAGACATTCTGATTCAGAATTATTTATACAGAATATGTGAGGATCTGCTGGTAGAAATTATGACTCCAGGTGCTCTTTTCAGGCCTCTGACCTTACCTAGCCTTTTTAGAATAAATAAATCAAATAATAAATAGGTATCGAACACCTATATTTTCTATAGTATACCAACTCTTTTAATAATTTCTTTGATAAATAAGTACTACTCAGATACAATGTACAATATGATGACTACAGTTTATGCTGCTGTATGGTATACATGAATGTTGTTAAGACAGTAGATTCTAAGAGTTCTCATCACAAGGGAAAAAATATTTTTTTCTTTCTCGTTTTTTTCTATCTATATGAAATGATTGATGTTATAACTGAATTCATAGTAGTAATCATTTCACGATATATGTAAGTCAAGTCATTATGCTGTATATCTTAAACTTTTGTTAATTTTGTTTTATTGCTTAAAATATTACAAAGAGTACTACATATGTCTCCTTTTTTCCCCCTTGACCTTAAACTTATACAGTGTTTATGTCAATATTCAATAAAACTGGAAGAAAGTGTGTGTTGTGCACAGAAGGAAAACTTACCCATACAACTTTTAATCATAAAATAAAAAAGTATGGGGAAGTTCACTAAGTACAAATAAATCATATAGAAAGTCCAACAGTTCCATTTATGTATATGGATTTACATAAGGAAATTACCTGATAGAGCTATAGACGTCGAGTGGGGTTTGATCATTTTCTTTGGCTATTCTCATCATATCTAACACTGCCATCCCAAGACATTCTTCCTGTGTTTCATGAGTCACAGGTACTTTTATCCATCCATGCAAAAAATCATGCCGCCACTAAAGGAAAAAATATTTAGACGGAAATATTTCATAAGTTTCAATATTACATTTTAATCTATTATCATATTTTAACTGATAATATAATTTCCAGAACACATATATTTAAAAAGAATACAACCTCTTTTGATTTTCAACCATTTTTCCATACAATTTTAATAAGTTATTTTGCAAATGGAAATGGATTAAAATTGGTTCCCAACTAGAGAGTATATATATCAATCTATTTCATTGCTTTTATCTTTAAATTATATCTTCTACATCAAAACTGCCTAATCTAAAATACATATTAATTAAATATGTACTGAGTCCCAAATATGTTCAAAGCATTATACTAAGGGCCCTGGCCAGATAGCTCAGTTGGTTAGAGCGCCGTCCCAATAAGCCAACGTTTCAGGTTTGATCCCATTAGGGCACATACAAGAAGCAACCAATGAATGCATAAATAAGTGGAACAAATTGATGTTTCTCTCTCTCTCTTTCTATATGAAAAAATCCCTCTACTGTTCATCATGGCCTGAAATTTCTATCCTCTAAGTCTCCTGAGCCAAATTTCAGTATCAAGGTCAGTTATTGGTGCCCTTGGAGGAAGTGGAAGCCAGCTAGTTTTCCTTGGGTCCTAACTTGTCCCAATTGAGTTTAGAAACATGAAAGCACCCCAAATAAAATCAATAACATGTTAATGAAAGAGAGAGAGAAGGGGAGAGGGAGAGGGAGAGAGAGAGAAAGGAAGGAAAAGAAAGGAAGAAAAAAATGTAGAAGAAAAGTGCATGATATTGGATCAGGCAATGACTTCTCAAATATGACACCAAAAGCAGAGATAACCAAAGAAAAAAATAAATTAGACTACATAAAAATTAAAAACTTTTGCACACCACAGGGCACAATCAACAGAATGAAAAGTAAACCTGTAGAATGAGAGAAAATATCTGCAACATATATTTATTAAGGGGTAAATGTCTTGAATGTACAAAGAACACTTATAACGCAACAAAAAACCCACCTGGTTTTAAAATGGGCAAAGGATTTGAATAGTTTCCCCAAAGAAGATATACAAATGGCCAACAAGCTTATGAAAAAACATTCAACATCACTAATCATTAGGGAATTGCAAATCAAAACTATGAGATACCACTTCACACCTACCAGAATAACTATTATTAAAAAAATAGAAGGTAAGTGTTGGCAAGGATGTGGAGAAACTGAAATGCTTTGTGCACTGATACTAGGAATATAAAATGATGTAGCTGCTATGTAAACCAGTATAGCAGTTCCTCAAAAAAAATTTTTTAAAAACCAATTACCATTTCATTTAATTAATTCCACTTCTGGATATACTAGTATATTCAAAAAAATTAAAAGCAGGGTCTCAGATATTTGTATGTCCATGTTCACTGCAGCACTATTCACAAGAGCCAAAAGGTGGAAGCAACTCAAATCAACAGATGCATGGATAAACAAAACGTGATACTGTGTACAAGGGAAGAGTCAGCCTTAACCTGTGTACGCCATAAGCATCTATAGATGCAATTAAATTCAAAATATCGTGGCATGTGGGGATGCTTTCAATTTTGGACGTGTGGCAGTTAACTGGTTAAAAAGGAAGGAAATTCTGACACATGCTACAACAGAAATAAGCCAGTCACAAAAGAGCTAATATTACATAACTGTAATTATATGAGGTACCTCAAATAGGCAAATTCATAGAGACATAAAGTATACAGGTGGCTGTCAGGGGCCAGAGGAGAGGGATATGGAAACTTATTGTTTAATGGGGAATAACAGGAACATATCTTTACCCAAAAGTACAAATATATTTTCTTTCTTTAGTTTCTACTCAGTCTTCTAGCACATAAAAACAAAAGTTATTTAATGATAAAACATTTTAATTACTGTTTAAATCAAGGTAATAGAGAAAAAAAGCATTGTTCAAATACACTACAAAAAATTAACATAATAGTATTAATAAACAAATAACTAGAACAAAGCTCTCAGACTCAGTATCAGCTAGCCAACCTCCCCTGAGAAGCTACACAAGCTATTATAGCTCAACTTTTTATGCACTTACCAAGTTTCTTTACATTTCACTCCCCACTATTTAAGTCTGAATTTGTTCAGGAATTAAAAATCAAACTTCTCTAAAGATATTTTATTGTCCTATGTTCCAGCCACTTATGTTTACATGAATCATGTTATAAAACTCAGTCAAAAACTTTGTGAAATCCTTAAAATAATTTAAAGCACTAAAAAAAGAAGAAGGATGTTCAAAATGGTCAATTCAAGGAATCTCTATGAAATAAATTCTATTGTCCATAAACCATAGGATTAAAAATTAGTAATAAAGACTTCATTTTGTTACCTAGCTATACCTGCTATGCAAGACGGAACAATTTTCTCATATATGAAGATTTTTCTAAGAGATATTTATCATTTAACACATGAAAAGTAGATAATATATCATACCTGAGCAAAAAGGTAAGACATAACAAAGTCATCAAGAAGAGGAGCTTCAGCACCTCGAGATATTCCATGCCGATAAGTTCTGTTGCTGCCGCTACAATACCAGTAAGGAAAGTAAAATCTACAAGACAGTTAAAACAATCTGTCAGCCTCCAAATAAATCAAATATAAACATACTGTGTACATATAACCACTTCCAGCATAACGAAAGGTATTATCCCATAATCAGAAAACACAGTTAATAGTGTTAAATACAAGTTGACAGCAAAAGGAAATCTGGATAAAACCATAATTAAAATATAGGTACTGGACACATATGTAATACTCTTTGTATTACTTTAAGCAATAAAAAAAAAAGAAAAAAAAAGAAAATAAAATATAGGTAGAAAATACAAGAAATCTAAGTGTAAAATCAATATACTGCCTTCTTCCATGCATAGACTGTAGAATAATAGGAAGCAGAGAAATGTAGAAATATGCTTATAATATCACATCCAAATAATAACCTTTTGCTTCTTTGTTCTCAATTATTAAACTTTTTTTCCTGTCTTATTGGTTAGGAACTCCATTAAAATCCTAAACAAAAGCAGTAACTAAGGTTATCTTTTACCTAATTTTAAAGAGACTGCTTCTAACAAACATTTTATCATTTAAGAATATTATTTGATACATGTTTTTTATAGATACCCTTTATCATGGTAAGGACGTCTCTCTTGAGTCTTAGTTAATTAAGGATTCCTTCACCTTTCTTTTTAAAGTTATGAAAAAGTCCATGCTCTTTTTTACTGCAACACTGACTCTATGCATTGAATGGATCTATTTCATAAGTACGAGCCACAGATCAAACTTAACTTTTTAAGATTTTCTATTAATTTTCAGAGAGAGAGAGGATGAAGAGGGAGAAAAACATCAATGTGAGAGCAAAACATCAATGGGCTACCTCCTTGCATGCCACTTACCAGGGATCAAACCTGCAACATAGGCATGTGCTCTGACTGGGGAATCTAACCAGCAACCTTTCTGTGCATGGGACAAGGCCCAACCAACTGAGCCACACCTGCCAGGGTCAAACTTCTTTGTTTCATCCTTTTGAGTAGAAAAGTACCTCTGGATTTCACTAATTTTACCATAAATTATTAAATAAACTAGACTGCTTAGGCCCACTCCCTGTGCTGTCAGCAGTTGGATATCCTTAGCTCTGCCGCGGAGGTGGGAAAGGCTCCTGCCACCACTGCTGCACTAGGCAGCTGTGAGCCTGGCTCTGGCTAAGTGGCGCCCCCCCCCTGTGGGAGTGCACTGACCACCAGGGGGCAGCTCCTGCACTGAGTGTCTGCCCCCTGGTGGTCAGTGTGCGTCACAGTGACTGGTCATTCTGCTGTTCGGTCGATTTGCATATTAGCCTTTTATTATATAGGATTAACTTTATTATTTGTGACTGTAATAAATACTGGCAAAACCTCCTTTTCACTTTTAAAAAAGTTATTAAAAAGAAGAGATGTGAGATAACATTGTATTGCACAAAACATCTAATTTCCTAGGAAACTAGAAATATTCCAGACATTTAGGATTTTGCTAGTAAAGTCATGATCACCTTTTAAAAATGTAATTATAAGTGGTAAAGTAGTATTTCACCAGAACAGCTTTATTTTCAGAGCATTCTAGTTAAAAAACATGTCTGGACTATTCCTCTAACAAAGAGTCATAGAAGAAAAAAATTAAATGCTCATTAGCTGTAGTCTCTGATATTAGATACCTTACAATTTTAAAAATGTTCAATAATTTCTCCCACTTTGTTCTTTTGCCATTAAGGTGAATCACTTTACTGAAGAAAGTACCTTATTCTGTAGAGTACATTGTGCCTGGTTGACTCATCTATATGGAAGACATAGTTGGGCGGATACCAGATCCTTTCTGTTTCACTCATTAAAGCAAACATACTATGATACACAGGTGTGATTCCTAAGAAAGAAGCAGAAAAAGAAATGAGTACAGATAGTTAAAAGTACATTTACATAACATCTATAATTTATAGTGGGTCTAAAGTAACAATTCAAAATCAGCACAAAATGCAGTAGCAGTTGAAATTTTTTGGTTCAACATGAACTATAACTGAATTTTTAATTAAATATCAATTTGCCCTATATTTTAAAACATGACTGCTGGGACTTTTCCAAACAAATTTTTTTAATTATTCAATTTTTTGATGTCTCTACAGATAAACTGATTTAAATCAGTGTGTTTAAATTGATAATAAGGACATCACATCAAGTAATTAATATTTAGCCCTAACCAGTTTGGCTCAGTGGATAGAGCGTCAGCCTGCAGACTGAAAGTAATTAATATTTAGAACTCACTGGATACTTTTAAGAGAACAGTGAAATAGCCTTATTTTTATATATCAAATTTTACACAATACACTAGTAATTAAGTTCTCTGCCCTATTTAAATTTAGAAAAATTTTTAATTGTCAACTTAAAATGCAGGAGTATGTAATTTTTTTTCAAAGATATTTTAGGATGTACTAGTGCATGGACAAAAAGTTGAAGGCCACTGAATTTTATAAAAGCATATAAAATATCTAAGGCACACAATAATGCTTTTTATTTCCCAGCACATATAGAACATTCACACATACACACCCATATAGACACACCAATCATATGGAGACTAAAAATAAGTTTCCCAAAATGCCAGAGAATAATCATACATAGCATGTTCTCTAATCATGCTTGACTTAATTCAGAAATAAATACTTAAAATTTATTTTAAACATAAGCCTCAAAAAACAAGAGAATTTTTATTTTAGTGACATTTTCATTCTTTTCCACTGTAGGCAAAAATGATACAAACTTGACACACTGACAACAAAATTTTTAAATTTATAGTTAAATTATTAAAACAACTGTCTACTCATAGAAATGTAATAATTTCAGTAAGTTACATATAAAAAGCTTATTCAGTAAAAACTCTGAAACTGCATCTTTGCATTCATCCTTGTATTTACAAATACTTTTTTTTAATCCTCACCTGAGGATATTTTTCCATTGATTTTTAGAGAGAGTGGAAGAGAAAGGGAAAGATGGAGAAAAATATCAATGTGAGAGAAACACATCAACTGGTTGCCTCCTGCACATGCCCAGATTCGGGCCCAGGCCGGGAAGGAGCCAGCAACCAAGGTACGTGCCCTTGATCACAATCAAACCCAGGACCCATCAGTCCACAGGCTAACACTCTACCCACTAATAGAGGCTACAAATACTTCTAAATATCTCACAGGTCACTGAAATTAAAGAACATTTATAATAAATGATCACTAATACCATGTGTTAAAAATTATAAAATATAGAAAATAGAACCAAGATGGCGGCATAGGTTAACGCTGGAGATCGCTGCCTCAAACAACCACTTCAGAGATATAACTAAAGGACAGAACGGACATCACCCAGAACCACGGGAAGGCTGGCTGAGTGGAAATTCTACAACTAGGAGGACAGAGAATATCATACCCAGACTCAGAGGAGGCACAGTGCTGAAGTAAAATACTCAGGTGCGGAGTGTGCGCGCGGAGCGGGCTGGCGGCGGAGGGCGCGGTTGTTGTTTTCAATTGGGAGGGAGTTTCAGACTCTGAGCTCCAGATCCGGGTGAGTCTCTGGGGACCGAGACTCAAACGGGAGAAACGGGACTGTCTGGCTTCGGTCGGAACTCGAAGGCAGCTTTCTCTCCGAGGTTTGCAGCCATTGCTGGGGCTCTGAGAGGCAGAGCCCCTGGGGAAGGAACTGAGAGTCGCCATAACTGCTTGTTCCGCCTGCCCTGTAGATCCCCGGGGACCCGCCCCGCCCAAGCCCTGCGCAGCGCCATTTGCCGGATAGCCTCAGGCAAACGCTAGATTAGCACTTCCCTAGAGATCCAGCACAGAAGCCCTCCCACTACAGACACAGCAGACTCTCATAGCCAGTTAGCCTGGAGGTCAAATCACCCCGGTATTGCCGACATCAATCAAGGCTTAAAGGCAACAAGACTGCGGACAAAGACCACTAGGGGGTGCACCAAGAAAGCATAAAAAATGCGGAGACAAAGAAACAGGACAAAACTGTCAATGGAGGATATTGAGTTCAGAACCACACTTTTAAGGTCTCTTAAGAACTGTCTAGAAGCTGCTGATAAACTTAGTAAGGCCCTCGAAAAGACTGGTGAGACCGCCGATAAATGTAGTGAGATCCTCAAGAAATCTAATGAGACCCTCGATGTTGTGATAAAGAACCAACTAGAAATTAAGCATACACTGACTGAAATAAAGAATATTATACAGACACCCAACAGCAGACCAGAGGAGCCCAAGAATCAAGTCAAAGATTCGAAATGCGAAGAAGCAAAAAACACCCAACTGGAAAAGCAAATGAAAAAAGAATCCGAAAATATGAAGATAGTGTAAGGAGCCTCTGGGGCAGCTTCAAGCGCACCAACATCAGAATTATAGGGGTGCCAGAGGATGAGAGAGAGCAAGATATTGAAAACCTATTTAAAGAAATAATGACAGAAAACTTCCCCCACCTGGTGAAAGAAATAGACCTACAGGTCCAGGAAGCACAGAGAACCCCAAACAAAAGGAATCCAAAGAGGACCACACCAAGACACATCATAATTAAAATGCCAAGAGCAAAAGACAAAGAGAGAATCTTAAAAGCAGCAAGAGAAAGAAACCCAGTTACCTACAAGGGAATACCCATACGACTGTCAGCTGATTTCTCAACAGAAACTTTGCAGGCCAGAAGGGAATGGCAAGAAATATTCAAAGTGATGAATACCAAGAACCTACAACCAAGATTACTTTATCCAGCAAAGCTATCATTCAGAACGGAAGGTCAGATAAAGAGCTTCACAGATAAGGAAAAGCTAAAGGAGTTCATCACCACCAAACCAATATTATATGAAATGCTGAAAGGTATCCTTTGAGAAGAGGAAGAAGAAAAAAAAAGGTAAAGATACAAATTATGAACAACAAATATGCATCTATCAACAAGTGAATCTAAGAATCAAGTGAATAAATAATCTGGTGATCATAATAGAATCAGGGACATAGAAAGGGAATGGACTGACTATTCTTGGGGGGGAAAGGGGTGTGGGAGATGCGGGAAGAGACTGGACAAAAATCGTGCACCTATGGAAGAGGACAGTGGGTGGGGAGTGAGGGCGGAGGGTGGGGCGGGAGCTGGGAGGAGGGGAGTTATGGGGGGGAAAAAAAGAGGAACAAATGTAATAATCTGAACAATAAAGATTTAATTAAAAAAAAAAGAAAAAGAAAGAAAAAAACTTGTCAAATAAAAGAAAACATCAAATTAAAAAAAAAATTATAAAATATAATTGTGATACTCAAGAGGGAAAATTAGAGCTCTAACCTGATTACATTAAAAAATAACAGACTGATCTAAATTATCTAAGTCAAGTCAGCAAACAACAGAATAACCCAAAGACAGCTGAAAGAAGAACATGACACAATAGGAGTTAATAGGGATAAAAATTTAATAAAGAGAATAAACAAGATAAAAGCTGATTATTTGCAATGACTAAATAAACAAACCTTTGTCAACTCTGATCAAAAAAGAAAGAAGACACAAACACTAAGAATTTTTTTAAATATAAGTTCTGAAGGCAAAAAGGGAGTGCTAAAATAAATGCCAATAAATTTGAAAATGTAGACAATGAACAGTTTAAAAATATATAACTTTAAAAATGGATTTAAACTTCAAAAGAACTATAATCATTAAAAAAAAAATCTCCCACTTAAAAAAAAAAAAAAAAGAGAAGAAAGAAGCAGGAAGAAGGAAAGAGAAATAAGGAAGAATCAGAAAGAAGAAAAGAAAACCTCCATAAGGCCCAGAGGAAATTTATATGAGTTCAACCAAACATGAAAGACAATTCAAATCTTAATTACAGAGAATTAAAAAAGAGAACAGAAAAAATGGCACATATTGTGGATTTAGTTTGACCATGATACCAAAACCGGACAAAGACATCATAAAAGGATAATCTTGCTTACCAAAATAGTTACTAACAATCCTAAACTAAATATTAGCAAACCAAAGCCAACAATGTGGTTTTATTGTATTAACGAAGTTTATTCACCCTAAGACTGCAAAAAATGACTAAATTAGAAAACTCCATTAATATAATTTATCACAATAATGTACTGGAGAAAAATCTGCAGTAAAATGGCAAAATCATAGATTTGAAAAGTTGGGTAGTGAGTACACTGGTATGTATTATACTTTTATACAAAGGGTTACTTAAAATATTTTATAATACTGAAATCAAAATTAAAAAGGCAAAATAAAAAATTAAAGTGATAAATGGAAAAAAGTTATTCACAGTAGAGCAAGTTTATAAGACTAATAAAATGTGAAGGGATGGTAATACCTAATACATAGTATTGAAGAAAATGCAAATTAAAATTATGTGACATCACTTTATACCCACTCAACTAGCAAAAATAGTAAGAGAAATAATATCTATTGCTGATTAATGGTGAAAAAAGGGTACTGTTATGTAACTGCTAGAAATGTAAACTGGTAGAGTTTCTGAGAAAGCAATATTGATATAAATTTGAGAAATTAGTATCAGTAAAAAATGGTTAAAACCTTTAAATCCAGCAATCTTTTCTATGTATTCCTAAAAGTGCAGTAGATTAATAAGAAAATGTAAATTCAAGAGCAGAAGAAAAAAATTAGGGTAGTAAAATCCATGCCATGGACTGTTATGAAATTAAATAAAAGAATGAGCTAGTTCAAAAGCAGTTGGCTTAAATAGATTTTTCACAATGCATATATTCATAAAAAAAGCAAAAAACACACAAAAATATATAATATGATTCCATTTTATAAAATAATAGCTTCAAAATCCTAATGACTGTTTATGGGAGAAAGTGACATAGTGTGTCCATTATGTGATTATATGATCATGGA